ACCTGGAATGAGGTTATTGGGTTGGTTTCGGCTGCTGACTGTCAATACAAAACAACTAAGTACACGGAGAATGGCTGTTCACTAGGAGCATACACAGGCCATGTCTTCTCCGTCTCAGATATTCCTGCTAATTTTGGACATGATCAGCCTGCTTTATTCAAAGCACCTTCAAAAGGCCTCAGTTTCTACTAAGTACTCATGGCTTGGAAGGGTAACACAAAACCGAGAACATAAATCTGTACTTCAAAACTCAACAGTGATTTTTGTATTTTCTCCCCTAGTGTGGCACGTGTTAGTCTTCCCAAATTAGCTATTACGCCTTGAGGGCAATGACCATGTCAAACCTATAGTTTCCATTCCCCACAGCGATGATGCCCAAATAGGCACTAAGAGCTGGTTGACTATTTGGGAGAATAACATCTAGATGATTACATATCAATGCCATTTGTTATCTCACAGACTGATTATATTAATAACATCTGTAAGGTGTCGAGTAAGTCTTTTACGTGCATCATAAATGCCACCATCCTCTTTGGGTTATCAGAATCCTCTAAGATCCTTATGTCCAGGCAGTTTGAATAAGAATGTGTTTGACTACAGCTTCATTGAATTATTTTAATATAATGGAAGCCTATCCATTACTGTTAAACTCTACTGCCATCTACTGTTCGTATGATAAAATAACACATTGTGCTCTCAATCCCCCAACCCCACCTCTATGCTCTATTCTTTACATTGAATTTTTGCTTTCCTCAGATCTCGAGGGCCTTCTATGCTTTGAGCTTCAACACAAGTAGATGTAATTTTTAAATAGTTTTGTTATAACAATCCAGCATGATATTGACAATTTTCTTTCGTGGGCAAAAAAGTTCATGGTGTTATAGAAAAGTAAATGTTCTTAACTTAATGAAACCATGATCTTTTCATGTGCCTCCCCCCACATAAAGAAACTAAAAGAAAAAGGTAACGGAATTACTGAAAAATGCATCCCCACCTCTAGCAGATATCACTAAATTGGACATCTCTGTCGACCACATTCCATTCAGAGTGTGACCCTCATCCTTCAAGGTCCTGTTTTCAAAGGATACCTTCTCCATAAAACCCTCTCTGATTCTTCACTCTGGAATTAAATTATTCATTCCACAATTGGTAATTGTTATAACTTATCCACATAAAGGAAGAAAGTCAGAAATTCCAGTTTAAGAAAATAACTTTATAAATCATCCCCCTCATCTTCCCTACTCTGTTGGTTCCTGTTTTTAGACTGGACTCTTAGGTGTAACAATATTATTGTTACTAGTGGAGAGTACTGTCTACAAATCATCCAGGTTCTTGGCATTTTGAACAAAGAACTGGACAAAACACACAAAAAAAATCAACAAAAAAATGAAGCAACAAAAGCATAGATTTATTGAAACAAAAGTACACGCCACAGAGTGGGAGCAAGCTCGTGCAAGTGGCTCAAGAGTGCTGGTTACAGAATTTTCTGGGGTATTTATTTATTTATTTATTTATTTATTTTGAGGCAGAGTCTTGTTCTGTCACCCAGGCTGGAGTGCAGTAGCACAATCTTGGCTCACGACAACCTCCACCTCCCAGGTTCAAGCAATTCTCCTGCCTCAGCCTCCCCAGTAGCTGGGATTACAGGCACACGCCACACCCGGCTAATTTTTGTATTTTTAGTAAAGACGGGGTTTCACCATGTTGGTTGACCAGGCTAGTCTGGAACTCCTAACCTTGTGATCCACCCGCCTTGGCCTCCCAGAGTGCTGGGATTACAGGCGTGAGCCATCGTGCAGCATGGGGTTTAAATCCCTCTGGAGGTTTCCCATTGGTTACTTGGTTACACCCTATGTAAATGAAAGAGTAGCCCTTGACAAGTCTGATTGGTCATGGGAGGTGACCAATCAGAGGCTGAAGTGAAGGAAGTTACAAAGTTACACATGAAGACTTGGCCTGCAACCAGTCTGATTGGTTGTGGGAGGGGACCAATCAGAGGTACTTTCCATTTTTCATTTGCAGTGCAGTGCAATGGCAGTAGCATCTGATCCTTTTTGTTACATTGGTGTGGAGAGGTGGGGTTTCCCTTCTGATTCTGTTCTAGGATGTCAGTGAGAATCGGCTGTAGGTTCCCTGCCTCCAGACCCTATTCTCTTGCCTCATTTCCCCACTGGGAGACATGATCCCCACAAATCTTTATGGGCGGCAAAGGGACCAATGGTTTTTCTTCTGTAACTGTTTCATGCTGACTTGGGGGTGTGGTCCCTACCTATTTCGGATCACGGAACTCTCACCCTACTGTCTAGTGGAGACAGGGTAACTTCTTGGTGGCCAGGAGTGGTGTCTTCACCTGGACCTGGAAACCTTGTTGCATGATCATCTGAAGCTTGATTGTCTCTAGGCGAGAGGAAATGAATTCGGTTAACCGATTTAACAAACATGGCCCAAAAAACCAAGGCAAGTATAATGATTAATAACAAGCCCACCAGAGGAAGGACCCAGGAACCCCTAGTTAGCATTTTTGACCAGGAGGACCACGACTTGGACAGCTGTTATCGTATCTTAGAAGCCTGGTCAGCTAATTTCCGGGTGGCATCCCTTACTAATTCTGATTGGTTGACATAGAAACAGCATTCTTCCTCTAGAAAGAGACATAAGCCACCTTTTCCAGCAGTTAGGAGATCCAGTCCCCTTCTATTTTGTAAAGCAACTGCTGCCAAGGAGTCTGTTTGACGATACTTTGGGCAATGTCATCCAAGCTTTCCACAAAATCCTTGGAAAGTGTTGGTAACAGTATAGGGAAGTTGCAAGCCCGCTAACTCCCGTTCCTACTCCCACTGTTATTCCTAGCCCAACCAAAAGGCGTTTGAGTTGGATGGCTCATTTGTGTCTGGCGGTTGCTGTTAAAGGTATAATAAGGGATTGGTTGTTGAGAGTGCTCTCTCTTTCGCGCGCGCTCTCGCGCTCTCTCTCTCTCTCTCTCTCTATATGCAGAGAGTGAATAAATATATATATATGTATTTACTTATTTGTTTTGAGACAATCTCCCTCTGTCACCCAGGCTGGAACGCAGTGGCTCAGTCTTCGCTCACTGCAACCTCCGTCTCCAGGGTTCAAACGATTCTTCTGTCTCAGTCTCCCGAGTAGCTGGGATTATAGGTGTGCGCCACCATGCCCAGCTAATTTTTTGTATTTTTAGAAGAAACAGGGTTTCGCCATGTTGGCCAAGCTGGTCTCAAACTCCTGACCTGAGGTGATCCGCCTGCCTCAGCCTCCCAAAGTGCTAGGATTACAGGCGTGAGCCACTGTGCCCAGCCGGGAGCTATATTGAATTTGGAGGCTAAAAACCAAGTGTACAGGTTCCAGTCCAACTGGCTGTAAAAGTAGTAGGAACTGGTGCCGCACAGGGAAAAGGCTCCTTTTTTTTTCAAGACAAAAATTGTTTTCCATGGTGAACATGTGGGTAAGTTGGTTGTTTTCACTTTCCCAAGTGGTTAAGTTTCCTGCTAAAGTGGCCAAGGGAGAATGTGAACCCAGCTAGTGGGCCCACCTTCAGAGTACTTAGACTGTGTATCCTTTAAAATGCCTTTAACTAGGGATGATTTGCATGAAAAGCATACAGGTTTTCTAAGTGATGCAGTGTGGTTAACTGCATAGCTTACATGATTGTGTGAGGGTTAATTTCTAGGGTGTGGTTGCACTAATGCCTTCAAGGTTCCCAGGGCCTGAACAGAATTTTGGCCTCTTTCAATACAAAGTGGCATCTGGAATTTTAGCTCTGTGCATGTTGATATTGGGCCCCCAGTGATTTTCTGTGGGAATGCAACCTCAGAAAGGTTGCTCTGATAGGACTGGAGAGAGTTTACTGCTCATCTTGTCATTTTAACTTTTGTCATTTCCATACTTTTGAAGTCTTGTAAGTCGTCCAGATTCATTAATTCAAAGGGAGTTCCTCCCTGGTAGTTGGAATGATAGGTCATTTTTTACAAGGGCCCAAGACGGGGCTGGAATTGGGATGGCCGTATATCTGGATGAAGATGGAGATAAACAAAGCCAACAGTACTTTGCCAGAGCTGAGCTGGTGATATTTAACAATCTTTGCATTAAATTTAAAGTTCTTAATAAATACCCAGAAGTGATTAATTGCCAGAGGGGTAAAGTGAAGCTCTGTTGTAAAAGAAAGCTGATTCTATGTATGCATGATCTCAGTATCCAGAGGCTGTGTGTGACCATTATGGAACAAAAAAATACTTATTTGCTATTTTGTGCGACAGAATGGGAACTTCAGGGTGTGGATACCTATGCTGTCAGGAATGCTAGTTATAAAAATGAATTAAAATACTTCATATATTACAAAAGAAGTGATTCCATCTATTTGAACGAAAGCAATTAAAATGCAAAAATATAAAAAATGGCAACTATTATCCAGTCTACAGTAACAATGCCACAAAGACACCAAGGAAAGTTGGTAGGCATTTGTGTATCTCACTTACAACAGTTCTAAAAAGTGTTTTATTTTAAGAAGGGAACATGTTAAGAAGGGCAAAATCAAAAGCATGGACAAGTGTTGGATGAGCTGATGAGGTTGTGGCTATTTACTTCGTGAATACTGTGAGATTTTGCCCAGCTTGCTGTGCTTGGGTACTAGATGGTGAGGATTTAAGAGGTCAATGAAGTCACAGCAGACCAGCACTCAAACATATTTCTCTTCTATTTCCTATTTTTGAATAAAAATGTCAGTTTCAAGTGGGTGGTGGGAAACGAACAAGCAAAGGAGTAATTATTTGAATACATTTTTGGTGTAACGTGGGTGTCTGACGCTGAGGCTGTGCGGTGGTGACCAATGCACCCATGCGCTGGGTTTCACAGGTGCAGATCGAAGTCCATGCTCTGCGGCAGATTGACTGGGTGGCCGCCAGCAACTCAAGTGACTTGCTGTTCTGTGCATTGCATCTACATCTACTTGGGTTCTTCTCACAGGTATTCCTGTCTTGCTCCAGGTCACACTTCGTGGCGCGGCACTCACGGGGAGTCAGTGGCGTGGCCCTGTGTCCCTCCCTGACCCCTGGAGGATTCCCTAAGGTCACAGTCACGGCCTCCATCCCATACTTGCCATCTCTTCAGGGCTAATGCATAACAATTGTCACAATTTACAGCAGCCCCACGCTCTGAAGAGCTTCTGGAGGGGGTACTACTCAAGCGGAGGGAGACAAGACAGGGACCTCCTCCCGTCGTCCCCTCTTAACGGGCCTCTTCTGATAAGGAATATTTGTAGATGGGTGAGAAGGGCAGCGGGAGGGCGTGAAGGCAAAGACAAGTTTTTTTTTCTCCTAGGAACCCAAATCTTCTGGTCTGGCTGTGTTTCCGGAGGCATTTCCAGAGGCCCTAGAGAGGACCGACTTCCGGCCGCGACTTCCGCGTCTTCCGAGTTTGGAGACCTGCTGCTTCCGCCCGGAGTTGCTGTGGGCTCCAGCTGCGAGCAGCCACTTCCGCCAGGAGTCCCTAGCGGCCAGGGCGTGGAAGCGGGTCCTGCAGCGGCTTCGTCGTACTGCCCGCCGCCTGCCCACGCGGGACCCGGAGCCCAGCGGCAGCGGCGGTCCCTGGGCCTGTGGAGAGGCGTTCTCTGTGGCCGAGTCCTGGGCCTGGGGCACGGGGCGGTGCGGGAGAGGCGCCCGGGCCTAGCCCAGCCCCAGCGCCTGTCTCCCTGCCGGCGGTGCCGGCGGCTGCAGGCCTCGCCGCGCCTGCCCAGCCTGGGGCGGGCCCAGCCTCACCGCCCGGCCCGCCCCGCCCCAAGGGCCAGCCCCGCGCCGGGTGTTTCCGCTCCTCTCCCTGCGGCGGGATAACCGCCTCGCACCTCCCGGGCTCGGTTCCCTGGCTCCGGCCGCGGGGGGAGCATGGAGTTTGCGGAGCTGATTAAGACCCCGCGGGTGGACAATGTGGTGCTGCACCGGCCTTTCTACCCGGCTGTCGAGGGCACCCTGTGCCTGACGGGCCACCACTTGATCCTGTCCTCCCGGCAGGACAACACGGAGGAGCTGTGGCTCCTTCATTCAAACATCGACGCCATCGACAAGCGGTGAGTGCCCGCCCCACCCCAGCTCCGCAGGGAGCTGGGGATCCCCTGTGGGCGCCCCGGGAAACACTTCCTGGCGTTTTCCGCGCATCCTGCCGCCCAGCTGGCCGGCAGGATGAGCCCTATGTGGCCTAGAATTAGGATTTACCTGGCAGAAACCCGTGCAGATGGAGGATCTGGTTTCCATTAAACCTGGATGGAGTTCTCAGGGTTATCGTGTGGCTGGTATCATCCTGATGATCTGGTTCGTAACACCATTTGGGTGGATTTTCGGCATTGTCTTTATAAATTTTTTCTTCTTGCCCCATCGTATTCCTTGAATCGGTATTGTCAATCACAGTTCATGAAGTTGTGATTGGATGTGATTTAGGCAAGTGTTTCCATTTTTGAGGAAAATTCAACTGATTATAAAGTTATGAGTGTCTACATGCCTCAGAACCATTTTTTAATTTCTGAAATATGTTCAGTTTATTATGTTTCTTACCTTCTGGGTCATCAATTTCATTCTCACTAAGGGAGGTTCTGATGTCTTCTCTTCAGCTTTACTCAGTTCTGCTTGCTGAAAGAACAGGGTTGGCTCTCAAGGAAAGGCATGGACCAATTAACCTCTTTTTCCTTTTTGTACTCCAGACTTTATCTTTCCAAGGCAGTGCCTCGAAGTCAAAAAGTTATACTTTAATCTGCAGTCAAAATTTCCATCTCCTTAGTGGCTTCTCTCTAGCCAGGAGAGGGCAAACTGATTATCCAGCTTACACGGAAGTAGAAATTAATGACGACAACGTTTTCTATTGCCTCACAGGATAATTTGGATTTTAGGAAGATTCCTAGAGAGGATATGCCTTAAAATAATAATTTCTCTTTTTTTTGAGACGGAATCTCACTATGTTGCCCAGGCTGGAGTGCAGTGGCCAATCTCACTGTGTTGCCCATGCTGGAGTGCAGTGGCAAATCCCGAGTAGCTGGGATTACAGGTGTCCGCTGGTACACCCGGCTAATTTTTGTATTTTTTAGTAGAGATGGGGTTTCACCATATTGGCCGGGCTGGTCTCGAACTCCTGACCTCGCAATCCTCCTGCCTCGCCCTCCCACAGTTCTGGGATTGCAGGCGTGAGCCACCGCGCCCGGCCTAAAATAATAATTTCTAATAGTAGAATTGCAGGAAGTTTGGGGGAAACAGTGGTAGATTGATTGATTTGAGCAGGGAGCTCTTATTAGTCTCCTCAAGTCACCTTTTGCTGTATAAAGTCTTCAGTGGGCCTGGCGCGGTGGCTCACGCCTGTAATCCCAGCACTTTGGGAGGCCCAGGCGAGCGGATCACCTGAGGTCAGGAGTTTGAGACTAGCCTGACCAAACATGATGAAACCCCATCTCTGCTAAAAATACAAAAAATTAACTGGGCGTGGTGGCAGGCGCCTGTAATCCTAGCTACTCAGCTACTCAGGAGGCTGAGGTGGAAGAATCGCTTGAACCTTGAGACAGAGGTTGCAGTGAGCCGAGATCGCGCCACTGCACTCCTTCCTTTGCAACAAGAGCAAAACTCCATCTCAAAAAAAAAAAAAAGTCTTCAGTGGTCTCTCATTGAAAATCTAAACCCCTCACAGTCATTCATGGCATTCTGTGTCCCAGCCCTAGCCTACTTTCTCACTTTATTTCTTGTCATTTCTTTCAACGAGCCCTTCTTGCACTTCCTTTCATGTACCTTTTTACCAGCCAGTCCTCACCGTTTACTGGTGCTGGTATATGTCCTGTATTCCGTCATCTGTGTATTTTATTGACTTTTTCCTTCTGCTGGAATGCCTTGCCTCTCCCAAGTTTGTTAAACATTTGCCAAATGCCTTTATGTTCTGGACATTTTGTGAGGCACTTAAGACACCAAGATGAATAAAATATATCCCAGTTCTTGTCTTTCAGGAGTTCACATGGCAATGAGCCTGTTACCTGTCTGAGTATTCAGTTTAACCATTTCGACCGCTACCTCCTTCACAGAGTCTTCTGTTAATTCCACAACTGGAATTCATTTTTATCTCCTTCGAAACTTCTAACTGTGGCTTGGGCATATAGACACATAGGAAATAAAAGGAGGATTGACCGCTGAATGGTTCAGTGATGCCATTGAATACAAATGATTAGTCTCTCCGTGACCATCAACTGCCTTTCCTTTCTTATTTACCTTTTATTGTGTTTACTTTTCGCTTATTCCTTTCCTCCTGTTTACCTTGCGTTTACAAGGTGCTGGGCTTTGTAGTGCATGAAGAAGAAGCAGATGAGCCGTGGACCTTTGAATCTGTTGGGAGAGAATGACGAACTGTACACACATTTATCCTTTTCCTGGGAAGCAGTGTGGTGTAGTGGAAAGAGCATAGGGGAGGCATCAGATCAGAGTTTGTTCAATTGCTGCTTTCAAGAAATCTTCACATCCACCCGTTTTCCATGTGTACTGTCTAGCTGTGCGGCTGCGGTGGTGACTAAGACAAGCTGCTTAGGTACTGTCCGGGGAGATGGACAATCAAGCAAGTCCAGAAGTAAATATGTATAATGATGTCAGGTAATAAGTGCCAGGAAGGAAAATAACGGAAGATGAGAGGATAAAGAGCACCGGGAGGCATTTTCTGTAGAAAGGATTTCAGAGAAGGCAGGTGACATCTGACTAGAGACTGGAATGAAACAAGGAAGCTAGAAATGTGAGTATCTGGGGGAAGAGCCTTCCAGCTGGAGGGAACAGTGAATGCAAAGACTTGAGATGGGGAACATGCTTGGCATGTGCAGGGAAGAGCAAAGAGGCCAGTGTGGCTGCAGGGCAGGCACAGAGGGTACAGGAAGTCGATGGAAGAGATGGTGGCTGGAGGGATAAGTGTGGCCAGACCGTGGAGGGCCTGCAGGCCACAATGGTTTTCATGGGAGACCTGGGAGAGGCAAAAGCTAGGAAGCAGCAGCTGATAGACGTTTCAGAAGACAATTATGGCTGCTGGCAGAAAGTGAATTATACAGGGGCAAGACTGGAAGCAGCAGGCCCAGCTAGGAGAGTAGAGTAGTTCACATAAAAGATGGTGGTAGGCTGGGTGCGGTGGCTCATGCCTGTAATCCCACTATTTTGGGAGGCTGAGGCAGACAGATCACCTGAGGTCAGGAGTTCAAGACCAGCCTAACCAGTATGGTGAAACCTCATCTCTACTAAAAATACATAAAATAACTGGGTGTGGTGGTGCACGCCTGTGATCCCAGCTACTCAGGAGGCTGAGGCAGGAGAATCACTTGAGCCTGGGAGGCTGAGGTTGCAGTGAACCGAGATTGTGCCACTGAACTCCAACCTGGGTGACAGAGTGAGACCCCGTCTCAGAAAAAGAAAAAAAGAAAGAAAAAAACAGTAGTGTAGTCACAAGGAATCTGATTTGGGATGTGTTTTTGAAAGTGGAGCTGCCTTGCCTTGCTAGTGAATTGTAAATAAGGTGAGAGAGAAAGTCATTAAGGATGACTCCTTCAGTTCTGCCTCTTACTAGACAAGTGCCTTTGGGCAAACTACTTAACCTCCTAGAAATTTATGTTTGAATGATGCTTTATAAGTCTATGGAAAACTTTCATATACACTGCTTACATCATTTTGTTTGATCCTTTCGACATACAAGGTTGTATACAAGTTTTACAGTTATACCTGTTTTGTTTTTTTTTTAATGGACCTCAGAAAATTGAGTTAATCCTACTCGGTTGATGACTCATCGTTTTCATGATTGATTCCTTAAAAGGTTTCCTCTGTTGTTTATTTTCTTCGTCTCCAATTTTCACTCGCGTTTCCTGCCTCATCCACAATCCCTGTAGGCAACCATGTTAGTTATTGCTGTAAAATAGATAGCACTGTTGTGTATGGGTGCGTGCACACATGCACGTGTGAGTTTAATTTGCCTAACTGGGATTATGTTGTAAATCTTGTTCTGCTGCTTAATATGTTGATGCAATGCTCTTTCAAGATCTCTTTATGTTGCTGAGTGTACAGCCATTTCACTGCTTCTGACAGCAGCACAGAATTCCAAAGTATCTAAAAGAACTTCCTTAACAGACCTTTTAGGTAACCTCCAACTCCCTGCTATCACAAACAACTCTGGTAAACATACTCCATCCACGTCCCCTCATGCAGTCTTGTGCCATAATTCCTCTGGGACTGCACCTAGGATGGGATGGAGCCATAAAGTAGGTGCATATCTCATTTCACAAACTAATTGCTTTCCAGAATGACAATTGAAGATTGCCTTCCCACGATGGTGCAGGAGAGGGTACCTCTTCTCTACTTTCTTACCAACATTTGGTATTGTCTTTCTAATTTTTCCAGTCTGAAGATTGTGAAATAGTGATTGCTTTGTTTTAATTTGAATTTCATTACTTTTTAGTGAGTTTAATTATCTTTATGTATGTTTGTGAGCAATATACTTAAAATTATTTTTCCTTTCTGTGAATTGCCTAATTTCTGTGGTCTACTTTTAAGCATTGGGTTTATTGTCTTTCTCATGTTGATTTGCGTGGGTTCCTTGTATACTCTGGGTATTCGTTCTTCATTTAGGCAGTACGAATGTCTTCTAGTGTGTCACCCATCTGTTATTTTTTTCTGTGGTGTCCTTTGTTGAACAGAAGTCTTTAATTTTAAAGTAAAACTTGCCAATGTTTTGCTTTATGATGTGTGGCTTGTCTTAAGAGCTCCTTCCCTGTCCCCACATCACCAGGATGTTCTCCTACATATTCTTCCATTATAGCTTCATAGTTTTACTGTTCATTTTTAGGTCTTTAATTCATTTGGATTCTATCTTTGTTTCAAGTGTGATAAGAACCTATTTTTCTCCATAGAGCAAGCCAGTTTTCTTAATCCCATCACCTGACAACCCAACCTTGGCTGGTTTATGTCAAGTTATCCTATATGTACAGGTCTATTTCTGAGCTCTCTGTCATAATCCATTGGTTTATTAATCTGTTCTTTTGTCATCATCATACTGTCTTTCCTTCTGTGGCTTTGTGATGTGTCCAAAAATCAGATAGTGCTAGTTGCCCTGCTTTCCTTTATTTTTTTTTTTAAAGTTGACATCTATGTTTTGACCTTTATGTTTCCATGCAATTTTGGAAAGCTTGCTATATTCAAGGGATTTTTAAAAGTCTTTATTGAATGGTAATTGAAGAGTCACAGGCAGTTGCAAAAATTGCACATAGAGGTTTTAGAATCGTCCACTCAGCTTCCCCTAATGGTGACTTTCACTCGCATCCCTGTGAAGAGACCACCAAACAGGCTTTGTGTGAGCAGCAAGGCTGTTTATCTCACCTGGGTGCAGGCAAGCTGAGTCTGAAGAGAGTCAGTGAGGGAGATGGAGGGTGGGGGTGTTTTATAAAATGTGGGTGGGTAGTGGAAATTTACAGTCAAAGGGGTTTGTTCTCTGGCGGGCAGGGGCGGGGGTCACAAGGTGCTCAGTGGGGGAACTTTTGAGCCAGGATGAGCCAGAAGAGGGAATTTCACAAGGTGATGTCATCAGTTAAGGCAGGGACCCGCCATTTTCACTTCTTTTGTGGTGGAATGTCATCAGTTAAGGCAGGAACAGGGCATTTTCACTTCTTTTGTGATTCTTTAGTTACTTCAGGCCATCTGGATGTATACGTGCAGGTCACAGGGGATACGATGGCTTAGCTTGGGCTCAGAGGCCTGACAGTGACATGTTTTATAACTGTAGTGTAATCAAAATGAGGACAAATAGGGCATTCACACTAGTGCAGTACTATTCACTAGACCACAGACTTTATGCAATTTTCATAGGATTTTAAAAAAATGGATTGTTTTGAATTTGTAGATTAATTGGAGTCGGATTGACATCTTGACATCCATGAACAATATTACATTATTCAGATCTTCCTTTAAGTCCCTTAATGGAGCTTTAAGATGGTGTGTATGCCAGGTGCTGTACTAGGAGCTGAGGATGTAGAAATGAATCAAACATGGCTCCTACCTGAAAAAGCTAAGAACCGTTATGAGAAATAAACATATAAACTAGAAAGTTTAATAAAGTATTTTAAATGCTATGATGGGGTATATACAGGGCATGGGTGGGACAATAAGGAGAAAAATAGAACTGAATCTGACAATTGATGTGAATCGTAGGAATTTTGTGGAGCTCTTATGCTTTTAAAACATATTTTTCTTGGCCCACTGTTCTATAAGTAACTGACTAGAAACATTGAATAAATAAACAGAGAATACCTTAATAGTTTATAGCATATTTGTTCTGACATAAAGTAACCATTATTTTTAACTCCTCTAGTCATTCATTGTACTTTATAACAACTGAATAAAACCTGCCAAACAAAACAAAATTCACCTTACAAAATGAGTTAATATGACAAGCATAGATGATACGGAAATTTACAAGAGAATAACTATATGTCTTGTACATTTTTTTTTTTCTTTTTTTACTGATAATTTGGTTGTGGTGTGTCTTTCACTTCCAGCTGAAGCAGAATGACAGTGATTTTTAAAACAGCTTTATTGAGATACAGTCGACATGTAACACACTATATATATTTGAAGTGTAAACTTTGATGTGTTTTGATGTATGTACACACCCTGAAACTGTCACAATAAGTTCAAGATAATGAATTTATCACCCCCAAAAGTTTTGTGATGCCCTTTTGTAATCCTTTCCTTCTTTTCTTTTCCAAGTAGTCACAGATGAGTTTGCATTATCTAGAAATTTATGTCAGTACATCATAAATCATGCAGTACTCTCTTTTGAGATTTGTCCATGTCGTATATATCAATAGTTCATTCTTTTTATTGCTGAGTACTAAGCATCCAGTGTGTAGTATTCCGCAGTTCATTTATTCACCTGGTGATGGAAATGTGGGTTGTTTCCAGTTTGAGGCTGTTAAATAAAGTTGTTATTAATATTCTTATGCAAGTCTTTGTATGAACATGTGGTTTCTTTTCTCTTGGGTGGGAAGCCATTTACTTGCCAGTGGAATGGCTGGATCAGATGTAGGTATGTGTTTTATTTTTTAAGAAGCTGCCCCAACTGTTTTCAAAAGTGCTTGTACCTACAGTTTTACATTCCTATGAGCAGTGTGTGAGAGTTCTAGTTCCTTCACATTCTTGTCAGCACTTGCTATGGTCTGTCTTTTAAATTTTAGCAATCCCAGTAGATGTTAAGTGTTATTGTGGCTTAAATTTGCATTTCCCTTTGACTAGTGGTGTAGAGCATCTTTTCATATGCTTATTTGCCATCCATATGTCTTTTTTTTTTTTGGCTAAGTGACCATCCATATATTTTGCCCATTTGTAATAGATTATTTGCTTTCTTATTGAGTTTTGAGAGTGTATGTTTGTATGTACATACACAGTCATGTGATTTATTGTAAGTATGATGGTAGTCCCATAAGATTATACTGGACCTGAAAAGTTTCTCTTGCCCAGTGATGTTGTGTTTGTGGTGATGCTGCTATAAACAAACCTGGGCTGCCAGTTACACAACAATATAGCACATACAATTGCATACATCACATAATATTTGTAAATGACCATAAACAACTTTGTTACTGGTTTATGAATTTACTCTACTATACTTTTTATTGTTATTTTAGAGGATACTCCTTCTACTTCTAAAAAGAATGTTAACTGTGAAATAGCTTCAGGCAAGTCCTTCAAGAGTTATCCAGAAGGCATTATCATCATAGGAGATGACATCTCCGTGTATAATATTAATATTTCCCCTGAAGACCTTCCAGTGGGGCAAGATGTGGAGATGGAAGACAGTGACATTGATGATCCTGATGCTGTGTAGGCCTAGGCTAATGTGTGTGTTTGTGTCTTAGGTTTTAACAAGAAAGTTTACCCCCCAAAATTTTTTAATCGAAAAAATCTTATACAATGAGGATATAAAGAAGGAAAATATTTTTATATAGCTGTATGGTGTGTTTGTATTTTCAGCTTAGTGTTATTTCAAAAGAGACAAAACATTAGAGTTTAAAAAGTTTATAAAGTAAAAAAGTTACAGTAAAGTAAGGTTAATTTATTATTGAAGAAAGAAACATTTGAACTATAAATTTAGTGTAGCCTGTTGATGAAGTCTTCAGCAGCCTACAGGAATGCCCCGTGGCTTACCTTTTCATGCTCTTGAGCTCTGTGTTTCAAAGAGCAGACGTTTTACATTTTGAACATGTCCAGTTTGTCAGTTTGTTCTTTTATAGATTGGGATTTTAGTGTCTTGTCTAAGAAACTGTTGCCTCACCTAAGTTCACAAATATTTTCTCTCATGCTTTCTTCTAGCAGTTTTCTAGCTTTAAGTTTTACATTTAGATAAAAGATCCCATTTTGAGTTAGTTTTTGTATATGGTTCATGGTTATAGATTCAAATTCTAAAAAAAAAAAAAGCTATCCAATTGTTCCAGCACCGTTCGTTGAAAAGACTGACCTGTCTTCAATTGAATTGTCTTTGTATCTTTGTTCACGTGTAAGTGAATCTATTTCTGGACTCTTTTTTTTCTGTTCAGTTGATCCGTTTATCATCATGTCATTTTTACACTGTCTTAATTACTGTAGCTTTATAGTAAGCCTTGAAATTATGTAGTGTTAGCCATAAAACTTTGCTCTTATTCAAAGTTGTTTTGGCTATTTGAAGACAATTGCATTACCATATGAATTTTAGAATCACCTTTTCAGTTTCTATATGAAAGTCTGCTGTGATTTTGTTTGGAATTATGTTGTATCACTAGATGAATTTGGGGGAGAATTGACAATAAAAAGAACATTCTGGATACGTTAACACAATCATCATCTGCAAATAAAGATAGTTTTACTTCTTCCTTTTTAATCCTTTTTTATTCTTTCTACCTTACTGCACTAGCTATAACCTTCAGTTACAATGTTGACTAGAAGTGATAAGAGTGAACATCTTTGTGTTATTCATGATTTTCGAGAAAAATAATTCAATCCCTCACCATTACATGTGCTATTAGATTTAGGGTTTTTTGTTTTTGTTTTTGTTTTTGTTTGGTGGGGTTTTTTGTAAATGCCCTTATCAGGTTGAGGAAGTTCCCTTCTGTTTCAAGTTTGCTGAGAAATTTTTAGGTTTTCATGTTTTTAAATCAGAAATGGATGGTAGATTTTTTTCAAATACTTTTTTTTTTTTTGAGACAGAGTCTCACTCTGTCACCCAGACTGGAGTGCAGTGGCTCAGTCTCAACTTACTGCAACCTCTGCCTCCTGGGTTCAAGCAATTCTCTTGCCTCAGCCTCCTGAGTAGCTGGGACTATAGGCACGTACCACCACGCCCGGCTAATTTTTTGTATTTTTAGTAGAGATGGAATTTCACCGTGTTAGCCAGGATGGTCTCGATCTCCTGACCTTGTGATTAGCCTTCCTCGGCCTCCCACAGTGCTGGGATTATAAGCGTGAGCCACAGCACCGGGCCCTTTTATTGTTTATAAATTGATATGTAGTATGTATCACTTGTAAGTAAGTGATATCTGAAGTGAACTATTTTCCTATGCTCCAGAAATATCTCTTTACAAACACTTAACACATTAGTTACAGATCTTTTTCCTATTCTTTGAAATAAGGCCCCAAATAATCTCCATCAAAACAATTAGCCTAATGTGAATTACTTTGTATATTTGAATTTAAAAAAAGACATATATTTTAAGTAATGTATGGCTTACATTTTAACGATGCAGCCTTGCTGCTTCCTTAGTTAGACTAATTGAGGAGAAGAAAGTTAATATAGATGGTAACTACAATTATATTCTCTTTTTGAAGAAATAATAATATATTTAAAGTTAGTAGTATATGTGTTCCTAAACATGATTTGCAATTTCTTACAGATTTGTGGGATCACTGGGTACCATCATCATAAAATGTAAAGATTTTCGAATTATTCAGTTGGATATTCCTGGAATGGAGGAATGCTTGAATATAGCCAGTTCCATTGAGGTAAGTATTTTGGAAGCAAAATCTAATGAAACATACTTTTATATTATGACTCACTGTTGCTCTTCCATTTCTTCATTAGATAATTTAGTCATGTTCTCTGACTCAAATACTGAGGATTGATAGGAAAAGCCTCACCTGGTTCACTGTTATATGAGTGTAATGGGACTTTCTTGACTTCTGGCAGTGTCTGGTGTTAACTCGTTTTACATGAACAGCTCAATTCCATGAGTTGCTTGGAATTCCATGGAATTGCATTTCCAATGGCTTTATGGAATTTCCATGAGTTCATACTGGTTAAATAACAGATACTGTTTCACTTGAGTGTATATGAATTCTTATTTAGGGAAACCATTAGAAGATTTAGTAAAGAGGTTCTTGGGAGAAATTTTAAAGTTTTGCTTCATGTTTTATGTTCGCTATACAAACCTTGGTATTTTCTCAGTGCCAAAGACTGTGAACTTCTTTTTCTTTACTTGAGGTTTGTTCAAGTAAAATCTTATATGGAATTCTAAACCAATAAAATAGATACTGTTAGAATTGCTTTTAGTCACATTACAGTGAGTACATATGGACTGGGGGGACCTAGAAGCCCTTATTGACTCGACTATTCCCACCTGCCCTCTAGAGAGTTCCTCAGAGACACTGCAAACCACTAGTGAGTTAACCAGTGCACTGTTCACTTCTCTACCAGGTTAGCAGCTAGAAGTGAAATTGTTTCTTCTTGAATATACTAGTATATCTTCTGTAATAAATACAATTCCAAAAATTTGAATAGAAATATTAATAAATTACAATATTGTACTATATCATTACTCATATGTATACATATTACATGTATTAGTATATTATTGAATCATAGCACAGTTTGATTCTTGATTTCACCACTTGGTAGCTTGTGACCATTGGTAAAGTACTTAACATCTCTCTGATTTGTTTTCTACTTTTTATAAAACAAGGATAATAGAACCGATCTTTTCGGACTGTTGTAAGAATTGTATTAGTTGATGTGTGTCGAATACTTAGTGTAATACTTGGTAAATATCAGCTACCATTTGAGGGTCCTCTGTCATTACTTACTATAATTTTATGGTGATGAGTTTTTTTAAAAATTGTGGTTAGAAAACACCTAACATAAGATTTACAGTCTTAACCATTTTTAAGTGTACAGTTTAGTAGGGTATAATAACTTTATTCACATTGTTGTGCAATAGATCTTTTTCATCTTGCAAAACCGAAACTCTGTGTTAAACAACACCCCGTTTTCCCCCCTCTCCAGCTCCTGATAACCCCCTTTCTACTTTCTGTTTCTGAATTTGTCTACTTTAGGTATCTCATATCAGTAGAATCATAGTACATAGTCTTTTTGTGACTGGTTTTTTTCACTTAGCATAATATCCTCACAGTTCATCTGTGTGGTAAATTCTGACTTTTTGAGGCTGAGTGATATTCCATTGTTATGGATGTATGTGGTGAGACTTTTTATTAAAAAGTTATTTCTTTTCTAAAGCAAGTAACTATCACCAGTGATTGTAGTTTTTTGTTTGTTTTTAGTAATCTGAATTTTCATGTATCAGTTAGCTTAAGACAGGTTATGTTTGCTTTATATTTATATAAACAATATTGAATATTGGCTCAGATTACAAATAATATAAATTTTACTTGCATAGTTTAAATGGAAGAGCTCACACTGTTTTCTTTCCATTCTAACCAACTATTTTGATATACACTGAAATTTTAAATTGCCTTATTTTAAATTATTGCCACTAAATTATGTCAGTTGATCTCAGGTTTATACTACTTTCTAGACTACTATAAGGACATAAATTTTTTATTTTTTTCTGTGTTTGTGTAACTAATCTGGACTTTGTGTCCAAAAAGTGCTATCAGCTTAGCTATTAAAAATGGGTAGACAGTCTTAAAAATCTGTAGGTAGGATTTTAGTGATTTTTAAAACAGGAAGAGAGAAATAGAGGAAAAACTGTTTTAGTACTAAGTAAATGGTACATAACACATTTCTTCTTGCCTTTGTTGAATTTTACTTAAGGAAATGAGAAGATAGACTGAACTGTTTGTCTTACACATCTGTCATTTGGAAGTAATGCATGATGTTGATTTGATGTAATTTGTTAGGTTGAATGAGAATGCATGTAGTTTATAGACTGTTAAATTGAAATAATGTCCCACTATTTGGGCAGAGGAACATTACCCACTTCCATTGAGCATGTGTGTGTTTATGGGTTTTGTGTTTTTTTTCAGTTAGGAGATCGGATTTTCACTGACCAGTCTTCGTTTTTCTTATCCCTTTGTGACAAGTGAGGTGGCTGTTTGGTTGGTGTCAGAGATGCTGCCTGTGGTGAGGCACAGTGGTGAAGGGAAAGGGGAAGTGTGCTACCCACGTGCTGACGCTGATCAGTTGTTTAAGTCACTGTATATATTTTAAAGCTCTTTAGAAACTGACTGATCATATAGAAGCCCTTAGGACTGAAAAGAAGCCATAAATTATGAGCTCATTTGACCTCAGAAAATGAATGATCTGTTAAATGTGCTTACAGCATAGTGAATAACATAGTGAACCTGTCCTCTATCCTTTTCCTGGCACACAATCCCTCCTGCTAGCCCTCCACCCTTCCCCGAATACATCTGGATGTGATTTATGAGTAACAATTGAATTTCTCATTTGGCATAGCTGAGATGTCCTTTGTAATTAGGAGTCCATGTACTCAAATATATTCCGCTGCCACACATAGAATCCCATTGGAAGAATAGCTGGCAAGTGCTCAGTTCTCTAAATTGTAGCAATAAGTTGGTGAAACTTTTTTTTCTGTGTTTCACCTGCCTTTGGAATTGAAATGTTTTCAGGTCTCTCAGCATTAATGTGTTTAAAGGAAAATACCTCTTTCTAGTGACATAAGATCTCAAGATGAAATGTGAGTGCTTATTGCCTATCAGAGTGGTTGCTGACTTGCATTTAAAATAGTGGTGGTCTGACTGATGGCAGCCCTGAGTTAGGTCAGACATGGACACTGGCTGTTCTGCTTCTGGTTGGTGTGATTGGCAGCCAAAGACAATATAAATGTAGGGAAAAAAAATATGTATATACATTTATAGGAATAATGGATTATACGGCCGTGCTTCTCTCTATTTTGTTTTATGAGGTAGGGGAGAAGGTTTCATGATTTATAGATGGATAGAAGAATAACTTTAGTTGGAGATATTTTTGCTAAACTGCTGAGCTGTATGCCCAGTCTACTATTGAGTACTCATGGGCCTATCCTTTTGCATGCCTGGTCTTCCTCTGACCTGGAGGGAGATGACGGCATTCTGAGCATTGCTGTTGGGCTTCCTCCTCCCGTCCAGGTGAATCTTGCCATCATTCCTGCAGTTTGAATTATGCTAATTGATATGGTATCCTTTTCCCCTCCCCACCCCTACCCTACCCCCAGTCATGGAAATGCTTTTTTCCATAATCCCCCTGACAGAAGGAAGAATCTGCCTGGTGATAGAGACTGTTCTGTCTGTTTGTTCCTCCCATCTACTCAGGTTTTCATATGTCTGTTATCCAGGATTCAAGTGCTCCAGATAAATATAGGCCCATTTGGGGATGATAGAGTTATTGTACCCATTTGAGAATAGATCCCTGCAGCATAAAGATATGATGATGCCTGACCAAATGGCATACCAGTCTAGGAAGAGAGGAAGTGAACATTGATGCAATTTTACGTATGTAGAGCATGTAATAGCTGAAATTAGCCAGGTACGGTGGCTTACGCCTGTAATCCCAACATTTTGGGAGGCTGAGGTGGGCAGATCACCTGAGGTTAGAAGTTTAAGACCAGCCTGGCCAACATGGTGAAAACCATCTCTACTAAAAATACAAAAAAATAGCTGGGCATGGTGGCGGGCACCTGTAATCCCAGCTACCCAGGAGGCTGAGGAAGGAGAATTGCTTGAACCTGGGAGGCCGGAGGCTGCAGTGAGCCAAGATCGCGCCATTGCACCCTAGCCTGGGTGACGAGCAAAACTCTGTCTCAAAAAAAAAGCGGGAATTATTTTCGATTTTATTATGTGCCAGACACTGTTCTAAGCCTATTACACACATTCTCTCTCTTAATGCTCCAACAATCCTATGAAGTAGGTATGTTATTTCTTGCATTTTACAGTTGAGGAAACTGAGGCATAGAGTGGTTACATGGCTTTCCTGCTGCACTGCTAGGACTTGGAATTTCAGTTCAGCATTCCGATTCCCATCTGACTGTAGACCTCTAAGCTGTATCATCCTTTTTTACAGTTACTAACCCACTCTGATTTCAAATAATTTACATAAGTTTATTTAGGTAATACTGGATTTTGAGCTAAGACCTTACTGCCTAGCCAAAAACTGATCCCCAGAAATACTTAGACCTTTTTATTAAGCTTTATTAAGTGATGTCAAGAGGTGTTATTTGATTTTTCTTCTAGAATTCATATGCACATTTTTTTGTTCTTTTTTTCATCCTGTCAATACTTTTGAGTGTGTGTTATGTGTCGGATGCCTTGTTAGATACTAGAAGCATGGAAATCAGCTTCGTAAGACTGTAATTGTGTCTAGTGATAAACACAATGTTAGAGAAACATACTGAGTGCCCATCATTATTAGACCATGTTTGCTTAATACTAATTTGTCACTTAGAATGTGTTTCCAATTGTGGGTGTTTCTTTTTTGTCTTTCTTTTCTTTTTGTCCCCAGGCATTGTCTACCCTGGACTCCATCACTCTGATGTACCCTTTCTTTTACCGTCCTATGTTTGAAGTGATAGAAGATGGCTGGCATTCCTTCCTTCCTGAGCAAGAATTTGAACTCTATTCCTCAGCTGTGAGTTAACTTTTGAGAACTGTGGATTATGAGAAGTAACCCAATACCTTATTTGACTTGTGAAAATGATCACTTCTTTTGAAGAGTAATAAGGTGAAGTTGACTTATCCATTCCTAATCTTATATTTAAAAGGATTAAAGCCATATAGAGTATGATCTCTGATCACAAAGGAATTAAATTAATAATCAGTAATTCTAAGATATCAAGGAATACCCCCAAGTATTTCTAAATTAAACAGAACACTTGTAAATAATCTGTGTGTCAAAGAAATTAGAAAACATTTTGAACTGAATGATAATGGTAATGTAGCATATTGAAATTTGTGGAATACAGACAGCTAAGGCAGTGTTTAGAGATAAACTTATAGCTTTAGCATTTTTACTAGAAAAGAAAGAAAAGCCTAAAATTATTGACCTAAGCACCAATTTAAGAAGCTAGAAAAAAAGAGCAAAGTAACTAGAAAGAAAAAATAATAAAAATAAGAGCAGAAAGCAATAAAATAACTAGAATAAGCAAGTTTAGCAAAGTTGGTTGATATAAGATCAGTATACAAAAATGGCGACAAGCAATCTGACAATGAATAAAATATTTAGGAACAAATTTAACAAAAGAAATTCAAGATCTATACACTGAAAGACACCAAACATTGTTGGAAGAAGTTACAAGAGATCTAAATGAAAGGAGAGATGTACTATATTGAGTACATCAATTGGAAGACAATATAGTTAAGGTTAGTGGTTGGCTGACTTTTGTGAAAGACCATTAGATAGTAGATATTTTAAGCTTTGCAGGTCATGTGGTCTCTATTATAACTGCTGAACTCTGCTGTTGTTGCATGAGAAAAGCAATCAGATGGGACATCAGTGAATGGATGGTGCTATGTTCTAGTAAACTTTATTTGCAGAAACAAGCAGCAGGCTGGATTTGGCTCATTAAAGTGGCAGTTCTCCCTAAATTGATCTATAGAGTCAGTGCAATCCCTGTTAAAATTCTAATAGGTGTTTTTGTAGAAATGGACAAAATGATATAAATTTTATGGAAATGCAGATTTAAGTATATAAGTTTGTATGGAAAGTCAAAACAGCTTTGACAAAACACTTGATTATAAAACTTACTGTAAAGCCACAGTAATCAAGAGAGTGTGGTATTGGCGTGAGGAAAGACACGAAGACCAATGGAACAGAATACAGGGTATAGAAATAAACCTTCCGTTTAATGGTCAGTTGATTTTTGATAAAAGTACCAATAAAATTCAGTTGGGAAAGGATAGCTTTTTCAACCAATAGCATTGGAGCAATTGGATATCCATATGTAAAAAAAGATAAACCTAGACCCTTACCTCATATCATCCACAAAAATTAACTAAAATGTATTATAGACCTAAACATAAGAACTAAAACTATCAAACTGCTTTAAGAAAGCACAGGAAAAATCTTTATGACCTTCAGTTAGGCAGAGATTTCTTAGATATGACACCAAAAGTGACTGAAAGCAGATAAAGCAGATTAGTGATTTCCTAGTATTGGGTGTTACACAGGTGTATACAACTGTCAAGACTCATGAAATTGTGTAGTCAAAATGGATCCAGTTTATTTTTTATAAGTTTTGTTGACTGAAAAGAAGATAAAAGAATAATGCAAAGGTTAAGTAGCTGATTAGAAACAGCTAAGGAGAAAATAAGTGATTTGGAATATAGATCCGATATAATTACTCAGAATATGGAATAGAGAAGGAAGATGGAAAAACAGAGAGGTTAGACACATGCATGCGTAATAAAGGAATAAGATCCAATATTTATCACATGGGAGTTTAGGATAAAAGATGATAGAGGCTGGGTATGGTGGCTAACACCTATAATCCTAGCACTTTGGGAGGCTGAGGCAGGCAGGTCACTTGAGCTAAGGAGTTTGAGACCAGCCTAGGCAACATGGCGAAACCCCATCTCTATGAAAAAATTTAGCTAGGTGTGATGACGTATGCCTGTGGTCCCAGTTACTTGGGGTCTGAGGTGGGAGAATTGCTTGAGCCCAGGACGTTGAGGTTGCAGTGAGCAGTGATCATGCTGTTGCACTCCAGCCTGGGTGAGAGAGCAAGACCCTGTCTCCAAAAAAAAAAAAGAAGAAGGAAAAAAAGATGATGATGATAGAAGAAAGACAATATTCAAATACATAATGGTTGATAACTCTCCAGAATCAGTAAAAGTTACTGAACCCTTAAGCTAAGGTATGCCAGCAAATACCATACAAGATAATAAAAAAACTTTAGACGTGTTGTTGTTCAGCTACTGAACAATAAAGCAAAGAAAATACCACAAAATTAAAGAAAAGACAAATTGCCTGCATAGTGTTAGATTAACAGAGGAAAAAAATTTGATCAATATCTATTCATGCTAAATGCTCTTAGAGTTGGATTTGAAGGGAATTTCTTTAATCTGATAAAGGATGGCTACCAAAACCAAAAACACAACAAAAACAAATCTTGTATCATTCTCTCTAAGTTCAAGAATGAGACAAGGATGTCCATTATCACTACTCCTAGTCAGCTCAATAAGACAACAAGGAAAAATATAGGGTATAGGGATTGAAATGAAGGTAGGAAAATTGTCATTATTTATTGATTATATGCTTGTCTTTATAGGAAAAGGAAAGAATCTTGAGATCATAGGCATTTCTCTACACCAAACACAAGTTTAAAGAGATGCAGTTAAAATGCAACAAAGATTATAGGGTTTCTAGGACTATATCTAAGAAAAGATGGTAAGACCTTTATTGAGAGAATTATAAAAATTTATGGAAAAATTTTTAAAAGCTTAAATAAATGGAGAGACAATATACTCATGGATAGAGAGACTGAATATTCTGAAGATATAGCTCATTCCCTCCGATTTATAAAGTCAATACAATCTTAATAAAAACCCCAGTTGGTTTTTACATTGAATTTGATAAAAGTTACCTGGTGGAAGAACAAAAGACCAAGAGGAGCCAAGTTACTCTTTGAAGTACAAAAAGGTGAGAGGAGGAGACTTAGCCTACTAGATACCAAACTTATTTTAAAAGCTCTAGGAGTTACTTAAGTGGACTAGTGGGACAGGATAGAGAGCACAGTACATTGGGACCGACAGAAGCCGCATTGCAGATCAATGGAGAGCCCTGTCATTCTCCAGAGTAGGAAATCAATAAATAATATATCATAGCAAAAATTCAAGAAATAATAGTATAATCATGTTATTTAGAAATGTAAAGGTAAACACCAAAAAAGCTAAAAATGTTGAAAATGATTGTCTTTGGGGAAAGCAAATTGGGATGGGCTAGCAAGGAACAGATAACTACATTTTTTTTAAAATAATAAATCTTTAGAAACTGTGTTTTTTTAAATTAATTAATTTATTATTTTTTGAAACAGAATCTCACTCCAGTTGCCCAGGCTGGAGTGCGGTGGCACTATCACAGCTCCCTGCAGCCTCGACTTCCTGGGCTCATGTGTTCTTTCACCTCAGCATCCTAAGTAGCTGGAACTAAAAACGTGTGCCACTGTGCCTGGCTAATTTTTACATTTTTAGTGGAGACAGGGTTTGGCCATGTTGCCCTGGCTGGTCTTGAACTCCTGGACTCAAGCAGTTTGTCTGCCTCGGCCTCTCAAAGTGCAGGGATTATAGGTGTGAACCACTGTGCCCAACCTAGAAACTATGTTTTTAAAACTGGTAACATAAATAACTTCAAAAAGTGAAAAATTTTAATTAAAAATGTGATACTGTATCTTATAAAATCATTTTTTTAAAGTAATAATCTTGTCCTATAGTACATCTAACATACTTTTTAGCTTTATAGCTTTATCTTCCTGCTCTTGTAACCCATTGTTAGGCCAACTCAGATATACAGAACATATTGAAATTTACATATAATTTGATTTTTTTTTTTTTTTTTTTTTTTTACTGTAAAACCTTTTGACAGTCTTCAAGGTGTTTTCAGTTCTGGTGTTTAAAATAAGTTGTCATTTGATAGTTTTATATTATATACTTTTAGTCCTTAGTGTATTCAGTTTGAAATTATTTCATTGACTCCTAAGCTTAACCTTCCTTAGTATTGAGTTGTTACTGTTTTAAGAAAGGTGTTACCAATCTTACTACATTTTTTACCTTTTTTACAAGAAAAGAACAAAGGACTTGATGTAGGTAGTAGCTCTGTTCTCATCTGTTCGGGGGATGCATTATCTGGAGTCTTACAGTCTTGTGCTTTTAGAGGATCATTAATAAACTAAATGGGACCCAGAAAAGGAAGAAGTGGGATGATGTTGGCCATGGTAATTGTGGATGTGCTTAATATATTTAACTTGGAGAATAGAACACTAAGGAGAAACAACTGTCTTTCAGACATTTGATGGGATACCATGTAAAATAGGGAACTTGTGCTGTGTTTTCTGAAAGTACGGTAAAAACCAATAGAGGAAGCTACAGAGCAACAAGTTTTGCTCCGTATGAGAAAGAACTTTCTAGGAACTGGTGATACCTAGGAATGCAGGAAGCTGGCCCTGAACCGTGGAGCTCCTTTTCTGTGCAGCTACTTACATATAAGCTAGAGATCCTCCTGTTAAATTCCTGAGAAATGGCTTCTTTATCAGTGAGAGTTGACCTCTAAGGTCTTTTAAAATTTCTCAGATTATTTTGTGACATTGAGATAGTTGCTTAGCTTTGAAGTATTTTGTGTTTTTCAGACCAGTGAATGGAGGCTAAGCTATGTCAATAAGGAATTTGCTGTCTGTCCCTCTTACCCACCAATTGTCACAGTGCCCAAATCCATCGACGATGAAGCTCTTCGGAAGGTCGCTACATTTCGACATGGAGGGCGCTTCCCAGTACTAAGCTATTATCACAAAAAAAATGGGATGGTAAGTGCACAGCACTACTGCTTGATGTACTGAAAGACTTGGCTTGGGGATCTTTTCATAGAAATGTTCCCTTTTTCTATCTGTCTGTTCATTGAAATGATTGTCCAGGTCTCCACCACGAGGGCTTCCTTAGTGTAAGCTTTAGGGAATCAGGAGTAGGGTGTTTTCTGTGGTGAGGATGTGACGCTGAATTCTTCCCATGATCCTGCTCAGCCGTATGAAAGCCCTGATAGCTTTATCTCCAGGACACTATACAAAGGAAACTAGTGTTTATTTGATGCTTACAGCAACATTCTTGTGGTAGAAAAATGAGAAATTTCTCTGCGCAGAATAATGGTAAAAGACTTGAATTTTTCTTACCAACTTTCCATGTGAATGGTGAATTGAGCAGACATATTTATTTTCAAAGGTGAGAAGAGTGATGCTCCTGTCATTTAGTCACAACTCTAGTAAACACTGGAGTCAGGATTCAACAAGGAGTTAAGATAACTACCTTGTAATGGTGGTCTCTTGAAAGAACTCTAAACCATTCACCAGGGAAGACATTAGTATACTAGACACTGATTTCTTGAGAAAAGTTTCAAAAGCAAACATTTCCAGATATATAGTTGGTAGGGTAGTTTTTGGAAACAAGTAGTTAAATCCTGGAATACTGAAAAGGATGGTAGAGGCCGCTGGAGAATAAATAATAGACAATCAGCTTCTGAGGTATTGGAAATGATTTCCCAAACAATGAGAACAGTGTTTGAACTTTTAAATTTTGCCACTGGTGCCTTTACTTTTTATAATTCTTGTTAAAACCTATCAACTCCATGTATGTTCAGTTGAAGTCAAGATTTACTGGCTCATAGGCCATTATTGTCTTATTACAGGGCCAGGTCTGCAGGTATTTGATTCACACACTAAATGAATTGCAATATTTGATCTTAAAGAGGTGATATAATTTATTATGTGACAGTGTTTTGAGACAGAGAAACTGTGTAAAAGCTCCAGGCTTATCTTTTACAGTTATTAACTGTTATCAATACATGCAAATATTTATTTGTTTATGGATCAAATCCATCTCCAGAGTGTCACACAATTGTTTTTGAGATACTCTTAATCTAGCTAATTTCTTTCTGTTTTCAGAAACTGTAAAAGCAACTGCTGTTGAATTTTCAGCTCTATTGTGCTTCTAGGTAATTATGCGGAGTGGTCAGCCACTCACTGGCACAAATGGGAGGAGGTGCAAGGAAGATGAGAAGCTGATAAATGCTACCCTCAGGGCGGGAAAGCGTGGCTACATCATTGACACCCGATCCCTGAACGTGGCTCAGCAAGCTAGAGCCAAAGGAGGTGGTTTCGAACAAGAAGCTCATTATCCCCAGTGGAGGCGAATTCATAAGTCCATTGAGAGGTAAAAGATTCCAGAGATAGTAAGGACTCTTATTAGAAGCTAATTACAGTGGGTAAGCCCTTAGCCATTTGAAAATCACAAGTGCTCAAATTAACCTATGCATTAATCTAGGGTCAATGATTGTCTAGCCATCTTCTCATTTTTTTTAGTCAGCTTTATTAAGGTTTAATTGACATACAAATTATATGTATTTGTGATGTGCACTCTGCTGTTTTGATATACATATACGTTGAGAACTGATTAAATTAGGTGAATGAACGTAACTATCACCTCACATAGTTACCATTTTTTTGGACAGTGAGAACATTTAATGTCTATTCTCTCAGCAGTATACAATATATTATTTTTAACTACAGTTACCATGCTGTACAATAGACCTGCAGAACTAATTCCTTGTAAGTGAAACTTTGTAACCTTTGATCAACATCTCCCCATATCTGTGTCCCTCCTACCCCGACCCCTCCTGCCACTTCCTCTTCCTCTGGCAGCCACCATTCTACTCTCTGTTTCTATGAGTTTAACTTGTTTAGATTCCACATATAAGTGAGTGCATACAGTGTTTATCTTTCTGTGCATGGGTGCCTGGCTTATTTCATGTAGCGTGATGTCATCCAGGTTCATCCATGCTGTGGCAAATGACAGGTTTCCCATCTTTTTTATTTTTATTTTATTTTGTTGAGATAGAGTCTTGCTTTGTCACCCAGGCTGGAGTACAGTGGCACGGTCCCAGCTCACTGCAATCTCTGCCTCCCAGGTTCAAGTGATTCTCCTGTCTCAGCTTCCCAAATAGCTGGGACTACAGGTGCCTGCCACCATGCCTGGCTAATTTTTGTATTTTTAGCAGAGACCGGGTTTTGCCATGTTGGCCAGGCTGGTCTCGAACTCCTGACCTCAAGTGATCCGCCTGCCTTGGCCTCCCAAAGTGTTGGAATTACAGGCATGAGCCACTGCTCCTGGCCTACCCTCTTTTTTAAGGCTGAATAGTATTTTATTATGTATCGTACCACATTTTCTTAATCCATTCATCCATTGACGGGCATTTAGGTTGAATCCATATCTTGGCTATTGTGAATAGTGCTGCAGTGAACATGGGAATGCAGATACCTCTTTGAGATCCTGATTTCATTTCAGATATTCGAAATACTTACCCAGAAGTGGGATTACTGGATCTTATTGCAGTTTCATCTTTAATTTTTTGAGGAGCCTCCATACTGTTCTCCCCAGTGGCCATACTAATTTACATTCCCACCAGCATTGTACAGGGGTTCCCTTTTGTCCATATTCTCAACAACACTTGTTAAATCTTGTCTTTTTAGTAATAGCCTTCTAAGAGGTGTGAGGTGATATCTCATTGTGGTTTTGAATTTCATTTCTCTGATGATAAGTGATGCAGAGCATTTTTTTTTTTAAATACCTATTGACCATTTGCATGTCTTCTTTTGAGAAATGTCTGTTCAGGTCTTGCCCATTCTTTAATCAGGTCATGTGTTTTCTTGCTCTTGAGTTGAGTTTCTTACATGTTTTGGATATTAACCCCTTATCCAGTGTATTGTTTGCCAGTGTTTTCTCCCATTCCATAGGTTGTCTCTTTACTCTGTTGTTTTGCCGTGCAAAAACTTTTTAGTTTGATGCAGTCTCATTTGTCTATTTTTGCTTTTGTTGCCTGTACTTTTGAGGTCATATCCAAAAAATCTTTGCCCAGACCAATGTCAAGAAGCTTTTTCCTTACGTTTTCCTCTAATTATTTTTACAGTTTCAGGTCTTATGTTTAACTCTTTAATCTGCTTTGAGTTGATTTTTGAGTATGGTGTGAGGTAAGGGTCAAGTTTCTTCTGCATGTGCCTACTCAGTTTTCCCACCACCACTCATGGAAGAAACTCCTTTCCCCATTGTATGTTCCTGGCAACTTTTTCAAACATCAATTTGCCATAAATGAATGGATTTATTTCTGGGCTCTATTGTATTCCATTAGTCAGTGTGTCTGTTTTTATGCCAGTGCCAAGCTGTTTTGATTACTATAGCTTTGTAGCATACTTTAAAATCAGGTAGTGTGTGAGGCCATCAGGACCAGGGCTTTTCTTCGATGGGAGACCTTTTTAATCTCCTTCCTCATTATTGGTCTGTTCAGATTTTCTTTCTTCATGACTCAGTATTGGTAGGTTGTATGCTTCTAGGAATTTATCCATTTCTTCTAGATTATCCAGTCAATTTGTCAATGTGTAATTGTTCACAGTCTCTTATGATCCCTTATATTTCTGTGATATCAGTTGTAATATCTCATCTTTCATTTCTAATTGTATTTGCATTGTTTTTCTCTCTGTTTTTAGTGAAAGAACCTTTAGCTAAAGGTTTGTCAGTTTTATCTTTCTTTTTGAACAGCCAGCCCTTGTGTTTGATAAGCGAAAGCCATGCTCTTGGAGGCCTGCAGGAGTCCCTGTCACTAGCATTCTTTCTATAAGCCAGCCCTGTGGTCTCATCACCACAAGGCTAGCTCCTCTGCATGTAGATCAGCAGTTGCTACACTGAACAGATTTGCTACATATACTTATATTTTCCTAAGTCAAAGCCTGTAGAGATTTAATTTCTCCCTATATCGACCTATTTTCCCACAGTTTCCTCCACCTATAGTCTCTTGTTTGCACTGTAAAAGAGTGATTTATAAGTGTCTCTAGGTGGGTGAATGGGAGCTGTAGCTAGAAAACAGTGGGATCGAACTGGGTTGGGTAAGGCTGCTGATGGTACTGGGTCTCTAGTGTTAGATTGGTGGGAACAGGATTGCAAATGTAAGTGGTGCTGTGTCTCCTGACCTGTCACGAAACGCAGGGCTCTGGCTTCTCCTATAGTCTGATAATCCAGGTATGCGAACTAGGTTTAATCTGTTCAGATGAGGAATAGGTTGCCATGGCAGGCATTTTAAGCCTTTGCAACAATATTTAAATATTAGTTTTTCAACCTTTAATCCTCAAATTACTGTATAGCAGGGTAAATATTTTTATAGTATTTTGAACTACTTTTGCTCTTAGATATGTTGGAGGCTGAGTCTTTGGCTTGGTTTCTTTATCTTTCTATTTTCTGGGTTTGTTATTTTTTGCTTTCTTATTTTTAAAAGGTATCACATTCTTCAGGAGAGCTTAATCAAACTTGTGGAAGCTTGTAATGACCAAACACATAACATGGACCGGTGGCTCAGTAAATTGGAGGCCTCTAACTGGCTGACTCACATCAAAGAGATTCTGACAGCTGCCTGCCTCGCGGCTCAGTGCATCGACAGGTAAAGTGCATTTCAGCATTCCTGAGCAGGACATGCGCTGATAACTAGACTCTGTGTTTATCCAGACATATGTTTTTATAGATTATGTGAAAGTTTGCAGTAAATTACTGTGTAGTCTAGTCAACACCATCCCATTATTGATGAGGTGTGTGCCTAGAGTCTGGCATTTAATAGATAATGTTTGTTTAATAGATAGGAACCATGTACATATACATGTCTTCCATGACACAAATTTTTAAGTACTAATGGACCTTTTTTTTTTTCCTATGACATCCTTAAATCATGAATTTGCCAATTTTTTTCTTAAACTGTGAAACAGAATGAAAGGAAGTTTTCTTATTTTTTCTTAGAGGAGCAAACTTACCTCCTTACTTTTGAAATATCAGCGAAAGGAAACATGTAATTTTGCTACACAATAAAATGATCCTTTCTAACTTCTGAGATATCTTATTTCAAACTACTTGATATGTGGCATTACATCTGGATCTCAAGTTGAGAACGCCTAATTGTAGTGATGTTGAGTGTATGAAGTGATTTTAGTTTATCCACTCAGTTAAAGGTTGCTAATCCTTGAGTCTTGTGGCAGAAGACTTGAACAGAGGCAGAAGGATTGGCATAAATTCTTGCAGAAGCTTAGAATGCCCTTTCTAAGAAGGGGATTCCACTGAAACAATAGGTAGGTATAAGTGTTATCACCACATGGTTAGATGGCACTTTTCTTTGAGACTTTAACTTGTTTTATTGATGCTTCCAAATTAGGGAAATATATATGTAATTTGTTATGGTTAGAGAGAAATTCATAATAGAATGGGTTGCTAAAATCATGTGGTAAGTTAGTAACAGAACCATGAACAGGTAGAGTCCCTTGGGGTCAAGATTGCCGGGCTATCCCTGTTCTTTTTGTTTTAGGTGTTAGGTAAAGCCCATTTAGCTAACAAACTGGGAATTAGCTATCAAGGTTCTGTGGCAGAGAAATAACAAATACACAGTAATTTTGTTAATACTGAGGGTTTTGTTTCTTTTTAACCTAAGTTTACCAGATTTCTCCTTACATTGTGAGTACAGAGGCTTCTGTTTTCTTATGAAACAGGAATTGTAATAAACTGTTATCACCGCATTGTCTCAGTTTGCAGCTGTAATAACACGACGATACAGATTAAGACACCCCTCAGTGCAGAATGCAGAACAGTTCTCATGATCTCCACCTTCCTTTCGTTTGAGCTGGCCGCCTTAAAGACAGAGGCTTCTAGACTCTTGGGAAGACTCAGGGTTTTGGTTTATTTTGCCATGTTTGGGTCCCTTTTTCTGATATATATTAGCCTATTATTTTCACCACCATACAAATTTGCCTTTATAATTAATTGCTGAAAACGTAAAAATAGACTTTAAGTGAATCGAATTCAGAATATCCCACAGATGATTAAGGTATATATGCAATATACACAGAAGCCTTAAAGTACATGCTCACCCCCCTCAGCCTAGTCATTAGGTTTTATCCTGAGAATGGGGTTAACCTAACCATAAGTGACTTCAAGGAATCTGTTACTTTTAAATTAAGACCCCTGAAGGAATCCAACAGAAGACAAAAAGCTAAGTACATCATCTACAGTGTAACAAAAATTGGCATAACCTAAATGTAAATTAAGTAAATTGCTAAGTACTATGGGATTAATCCTATAGGATTAAGTAAATTGCAGTTCATCACTTAATAGTATATTACACACACAGGCACACCTTGGAGATGTGGGTTTGGTTCCAGAAAACCACAGTAAAGCAAATCAGGCAATAAAGTGAGTCACATTCATTATTAATGTTTGGTTTTCTAGTGCATATAAAGTTATGTTTACACTATATTGCAGTCTGTTAATTGTGCAGTAGTATTATGTCTAAAAAGAAAAAACAATATACATACCTTAATTTAAAAATACTTTATTGATATTTGAGGTTATTGGCCCTGGGAGAGGGCCTTGCCTCCCCATTGATGGCTGCTGACTGATCAGGGTGGTGGTTACTGAAGCTTTGGATGGCTGTGGCACTTTCTTAGACAAGACAGCAATGGAGATTGCCACATTAATTGACTCTTGCCTTCATGAAAGATTTCTCTGTAGCATGTGATACTGTTTGATAGCATTTTACCCACAGTAGAACTTGCAAAATTAGAATCAGTTTTCTCAAACGCTGCCACTGCTTTGTCACCTAAGTTGATGTGGTACTCCAAATCTTTTTTTTTTTCTTTTTGTCATTTCAGCAATATTCACAGCATCTTTACCAGGAGTAGATTCCATCTCAGGATACTACTTTTCTTGCTCATCCATAAGAAGCAACTCCTTATTCTTTTAAGTTTTATCATGAAATTGCAGCAACTCAGTCAAATCTTCAGGCTCCTAATTATTTATTTAGGAGACAGGGCCTTGCTCTGTCGCCCAGGCTGGAGTACAGTGGCAGGATCACGGTGCACCACAGCCTAGAACTCCTGGGCTCAAATGATCCTCCCACCTCAGCCTCCCAAATAGCCAGGACTACTGGTGTACACCGCCACGCTCAGCTAATTTTTTTTTTTTTTTTTCAGTTTTTAATAGAGATGTAGTCTCTGTTTATTGCCCAGTCTGGTCTCAAACTCCTGAGCTCAAACAGTCCTCCTGCCTCAGCCTCACAAAGTGCTGAGATTACAGGTGTGACCCACCCCACCCAGCCTTTTTTTTTCTTTTCTTTTAGAGACAGTCTTTCCGTCTGTCACCCAAGCTGGAGTGCAGTGGCACAGTCATAGCTCACTGTAACCTCAAACTCCTGGCTTCAAGCAATCCTCCTGCCTTGGTCTCCCTAAGTACTGGGGTTACAGGCATGAGCCACTATGCCCCACCTTCAGGTTCCACTTCTAATTCTAGTTCTTTTGCTATTTCTGTAACATCTGCAGTGACTTCTCCAGTAAAGTCTTATGCCCCTCAAAGTATCCATGAGATCTGGAATCAACTTCTTCCAAACTCCTGTTGATGTTGATGTTTTTAACCTCCTCCCATGAATCACAGATGTTTTTAATGACATCTAGAAATGTGAATCCTTTACAGAAAGTTTTCCGTTTACTTTGTCCAGAACCATCAGAGGAATCACTAGCTAGGGCAGCTATGGCCTTAAAATAAAACTTGAAAGTTGAAATTACTCTTTGATCCATGGCCTGCAGAATAGATGTTGTTTTAGCAGGCACAAAAACAACATTCATCTCCTTGTACCTCTCCATCAGAGCTCTTAAGTGACCAGGTGCATTGTCAGTGAGCAGTGATGTTTTGAAAGGAATCTTTTCTTCTGAGCAGTAGGTATTATTCAGTAAACCATGCTGTAAACAGGCGTGCTGTCATCCAGGAGTCATTGTTCCATTTATAGAGCACAGGCAGAGTAGATTTAGCATAACCCTTAGGGCCCCTAGGATTTTCAAAATTGCAAGTGATCACTGGCTTCAGCTTAAAGTCACCAGCTGCATTTTTTCCCTAACAAGAGAGTTAACCTGTCCTTTGAAAGCAGGCACTGATTGTTCCTCTGTAGCTATGAAAGTTCTAGATGGCATCTTCTTCCAATATAAGGCCATTTCATCTACACTGAAAGTCCATTGTTTAGTGGAGCTGCCTTTATCAATGGTCTTCGCTAGATCTTCTGGGTAACTCGCTACAGCTTCTGCCCGCAGCACTTGCTGCTTTGCCTTGCACTTGTATGTTAGAGGGAGATGGCTTCTTTCCTTAAACCTCATGAACCAGCCTCTGCTAGTTTCCAACTCTTCTTCTACAGCTTCCTCACCTCTCTCAGCCTTCATAGAACTTTGTAGAATGGAGGAGAGTGAAGGCCTTGCTCTGGGTTAGGCTTTGGCTTAAGGGGATATTGCAGCTGATTTGATCTTCTATCCAGACCACTCAGACTTTCTCCATTTGAGCAGTAAGACTGTGTCACTGTATCATTTATGTGTTCGCTGGAGAAGCACTTTTAATTTCCATCAAGAACTTTTCCTTTGCATTTGCTGCTTGGTTAACTAGAGCAGGAGGCCCAGCTTTTGGCCTGTCTCAGCTTTTGACATGCCTTCCTCACTAAGCTTAATCATTTCTAGCTTTTGATCTAAAATGAGACATGCTACTCTTCCTTTCATTTGAATACTTACAGGCCATTGTAGGGTTATTAATTGGCCGGCCTAATGTCAATATTGTTGTGATTCCGGGAATAGAGTGTCCCTAAAGAGAGAGAGTCAAAGGAACAGGTGGTTAGTGGAGCAGTGAGAGCACACAGCATTTGTCGATTAAGTTCACTGTCTTATGTGGACGTGGTTCGTGATGCCCCCAAAACTTGCAGTAGTAACATCAAAGATCACTGATCACAGATCACCGTAACAGTTGTAATAATAATGAAAAATTTTGAAATATTGTGAGAATTACCGAAATGAGACAGAGACACAAAGTAAAACATGCTGTTGGAAAATGGGTGCCAACATACTTGTGTGACACAGGATAGCTGCAAACCTTCCATTTGTGGAAAATGCAAATCTGTGAAGAGCAACCAAGGGAAGCTCCGTGAATGAGCTGTGTCTGTGACTGTTAATATCCTAGTTCTGAAGATGATGTACAAACATGGAACGCTACGAGTGTAGAATAAGAGTGAGAATAGAGGAAATTGCCTCTTATTAAAGCTCTATGTAGTATGTATGTACATGGGTAAAAACTGACAGTAGTAACCAAACCGGAAGCTTTTATGTGAAGGTGGTGGTTTTTGTTTTTCCAAAGTTTCCTTCATTGTTTCAACAGAAAGGGTGGAAGAAGGAGAGGGGAGAAGATGTAGTAAATTTAGTTTTGGTGTTTTCTTTCATACTCTTTAGAATAACGGGGTTCCAGACACTTACGAGTCTCATGATGCAGTGGTATCTTTACCACTGACTTTCTAGATTGACAGTTTTATGTTTGTTTTTTTTCCTGTTGTCATATTTCTCAAAGTGTAGTCTAGGTCTCATTTTCCAGATTGAATTACAGTTTCTGAAGGTGTCCTTATAGTCAGCTGATGGTGGAAAGGTAGAGTCAAAGTCAGAAAAATAATTTTAGTGTATGTCTGTAGGTTTGATGAGAAGAGGCTTTAACAATGATTAAAGCGGAAAAGGTAAATGCCTTCTGTGGTAAGAACTGCTTTTTGGTTTTGTAAAAGGAAAGAAAAATTCAACTGAAAGGTTCTGTGAAATTGGTTACAACTTAAAGAGGTCTTGCCATGTGAAATTTGGGATTCATTATAGTCGTATTTTTTCCCAAGAGAAACTTATCTATCGTGTGCCTTAGATTTAGATTCTGAACTCTACAAGTCAGAGCAGAGTGTTGTACTCAATACACTGAATAGACCGGACTCAGTAGACTAAAATGTTGTACTCAATAAACGCTTGTTATTAACAGAGTTCATTGACCATGTCTGGCATTTCCCATTTGTACTCTTCCCTGATTTTCCTATCAGGGAAGGAGCATCAATATTGATTCATGGAACAGAAGGAACTGATTCCACACTCCAGGTGACCTCCCTGGCCCAGATCATCTTGGAGCCAAGAAGCAGGACCATTCGTGGTTTTGAGGCCCTGATTGAAAGAGAGTGGCTACAGGTGAGAAGAGCTGTTTGATTCACAGAGGAACTGCTCATTGATGCTGTGATCCTGGTTTGTGTGGTAGCTGACATAATGTGTGAATTTTTGATTGATTAAAATTTCTAAATGGTGTGTTTAATTTCCTGCAGGCCAGTTAATCTGTCTTCTCCTCGTTTCTGGATATCTCTTTTCCTGTATTCCTCACTTGACACTTCCTTCACTTGGCAAACTCTTGTTGGCTGTGCTTTGTCACATACAGGAGAAATACAAAGAATGGGAAGCATAGTGCGGTCTCCCAGAAGCTGGGTCTTGACGGATCAAAGACACAAGCAGTCAGGGAATGGGGAGTGGGGCCTGTAGTTTCAAGGAAAGCGCTTTAGCCCCTTCTGCCTTTTGCTCATGCTGCTCCACCCTGTGAAGCTTCCTTCACAGAGAAAACTGAATCATGTAATGTTGGATGGCTACCAAAATAAAGGTCTCATTCATAACGGAGATTGATATCCTCCACAGAGATTGCTTTTGAATGTATTTTTACTGTGTAACCTGGTAAATAATTGTATTTGAACACAAATGCTTACATATCTTGAAAGCAGACATTTTTCTGGCAAAAAGAATATCTTGCCCTCTGGTTACAATTCACATTTATTATGTACTAATGTTGTTATGTATGCCATGTCCACCCTGCCTGACAACTGACCTTACCTCTGTTTAAGTCAGACCATCCTAAGTTTATGCTCCATATTTGACGAAAGTCTATTGAGCTATATTCCTCATGATGCATAGTAGACAGACAAATGAGTATGACTGACTTATTTATATATTATTTTAATGGATATCAAAATTCTATGAACCACTGTAAAATTTCTGTGGCATTACCTTTGTCACACACAGTAGCAGAAAGACCCAGAGACAAAGCAGATCTGTGAAACTCCTAGCAGAGTATGATTTGTGTGAAGGTCAGTATTTGGGTTCTGAACAAGACAGTCAAATGAGTCTTAAATTTACTGTGGTCAGTAGATGGCAGACTCTTGCCATTCTTTTTGGGAGAAGAGGGTAATTAAGGACAGCTTTATCTCCAGTAGAAAAGTACTCATAAAGATCTTTCAGCACAATAACTTTTCATATATAATTAGAGATTTGCTGTCAGAGCTGACGTTATAAGGTTGATCAGAGTTCCATATCTGTCTCCACTTAGGGTGAGGTTTGTATAGTGTACAAGACAATCTACAGTGTTAGACTGAGGTGATGATTCTTTGTTTGTACTGAGAGCGTATGTTCTTTGACTTTGCTCCAGATTTTGTAGACCTAGAAAGGTTTATTTTGTAAGTTTATTATTACTTAAGTTCATTATTCTTCCATAGGATATGCCAAGGGCAATGCAGTTCCTGTGGTCACACCTTAGCTGCACAGCCTCATTAAGGATTTGGAAGTGTGTCTTTTTCCTTAGTTGCTGCAACTATTTGTTTTATACCAAGAAATCATTAATCTGTACAACAGCTACCCTAATTATATGATGTTCCAGGTACTAGGAGTGTCACTGTAATTGTGTGTAGTGGTGTCGGGTCTGTGATTGTGTGTAGTGGTGTCAGTAGAATGCTCTGTCATGTGATCTCACCAGGATATGACTGTCACGCCTCCATCTTCCCCCAGGCTGGTCACCCGTTCCAGCAGCGCTGTGCACAGTCAGCCTACTGTAACACCAAGCAGAAGTGGGAGGCTCCTGTATTTCTTCTCTTCTTGGACTGCGTGTGGCAGATCCTTCGTCAGTTTCCCTGTTCTTTTGAATTTAATGAGAATTTCCTCATCATGCTCTTTGAGCATGCTTATGCTTCACAGTTTGGAACATTTCTGGGCAACAACGAAAGTGAAAGGTGAGTACACTGCTCACATGGGGACCTTTCCTTTTCCCTTGTTTTGGCTACTTTCTAAGTAGCCAAAATCTCCTAGGAGACCACAGTTTGGCTCTATGTTAAAATTAGAGCCAAATCTAAGGCTACAGTTAATTATAAGTTAAATGATCTGAAGTATATTCTTATTGTGAGACAATCTCATGCTAGGGGAGAGCATGTCCTAGACTTTGTTCTGTTAGATTAAAATTAGTCCATACATGAATTAAGGGGCAACCATTTTAAAGGTTAATTTCTTAACATAGGATCATAGTATCTTACATGTGGAAAAAGCCTTAATTTATAATTTAGCTCTTCCCTCTAATTTTATTAAGAAAGTAAGATCCAGAGAAGTTAAGTGACTTTTCCCAGGATGTACAGCCAGTTGGTCATCAAAAGTGTGGCCTAGAGCAGTGATCCCCAACCATTTTGGCACCAGGGACTGGTTTCGTGGAAGACAGCTTTTCTGTGGATTGGATGGTGGCGGGATTGGTGATGGTTTTGGGGTGAAACTGTTCCACCTCAGATCATCAGGCATTAGATTCTCATAAGGAGAATTCTCATAAAGGCACACCCTAGATCCCCCACACGCGCAGCTCACAGTAGGGTTTGCGCTCCTGTGAGAATCTAATGCTGCTGCTGATCTGACAGGAGGTGGCAATACACGCTCACCTGCCACTCACCTCCTGCTGTGTAGCCGGTTCCTAACAGGTCACGGACCCTTACTGGTCCATGGCCTGGGGTTTGGGGATCCCTGGCCTAGATTACAGGTCTTCCCCCTCTTGCTCTAGACTTTGTTACACCTAGAAACTGTCGTCAGGCAGAGTAACAAACTCACCTCCCAGCCCAGGCACCATCAAGTGTATAGGTTCATTTAGAAGATTGACATCAGAATGATTCTTCAGGGAGGTTGCCTGGTAATCTCTTTAGGGTACAATCACCAGGCTTCCTTGCCTCATTGCTGGCAGCCACCGTTTTCTAAAGCATGTACTGCTTAGCCCTGGACTGTACTCTGGCAGGGAGGGACAGGAGGGATTGGCAATTTCTATAGCCAAGGAAGTTTGGAGAATGTGCATAATATCGTCTCCACTTAGAGGGTGACAAACACATAATCATTAAAGGCATTAAGACACCCTTCAGTAAAGCAATGTATATAATTTTAATTCACCATTTAAGAAATGTGTTTGACGATGAATTTTTTTTTGGTGTTATACCTGTTAATATCCTCAGGACTAGCTTTCAAGAAGGGATCAAAATAGATTCCCATTCTGCTTCCCGGTTGGTAGAGGCTGCCAGCAATGCTGAATGGGAAGGATTCTGAAGTGGTGTCAGGCTCAGCCAGAACAAGTTCAGTGGTTGGCCGGCCATGGGCAGGAGGCACAGGGCTGGAGGCAGTGGATACAATGATGTCCTGTCCTTGTCATCCCTGGTTCCTGGGAACATAGCGTGGGACATGCTGTCCCAGCAGTTAAAGTCCAGCGCCACATAGGCTCTGTGATTATGTGGATTATTTGTGTTGCTTGCTCAAAAAGAATGCACCAAGTTGCACGTAGCTCATAAATAATGTGGTTTCAGAGACAAAACTGATTTTGTAATAAAATTTCAATTTAAATACATTCTTATGAGAATTGAATGCATTATCTTTTTGGTTGATGTAAGGTTTACCACAGGCTGTCTTTCAATCTGTGTTAAAATGTATTTTTTTCTAAAACATGCCAATCGACTGTTAATCCTTCTCTGACAGTTTATTACATGATAAAGAGCGTTCTAGAGTTTTAGAATTATTATGAATCCTGTTCATTGTATGTGGATATAGATTAAATATGTATTTACATCAAGATTCACATTGATTTTTCATCTTTGACAATCTGTATTTTATGTACATGTAATTTATTTTCCCTAAAAGCTAAGTCTCTAAAAAATTGTAAGTTTTGTTTAAAATTTGACTCAACCTCCATTTTTAATATTAATATGGGCATAAGAAGGATACAGTGGACTTTGGGGTCGTGGGGGAGGTAATGGAAGGGGGACGAGGGATAAAAGACTACAGATAGGGTTCAGTGTATACTGCTCGGGTGATGGGTACACCAGAATCTCACAGATCACCACTACAGAACTTACTCATGTAACCAAATACCACCTGTTCCCCAATAACTTATGGAAAAATTAAATTAAGAAAAAACAAATTAGAGAGTGGTTATCAAACAATGTAAATAATAAAGACCGTGGGGTCTATCCAGGCATTCATATTTGTAAGCTATCCTGTTTGTTTCTGCACGACAAGCCCTTTCTTACGGAAACTATAAAAATAAATAGGACATAAATGTCGAAAAGTGTGTAATTTTTGTGTTTATATTGTAGGCTTCTCAGAAACAAGAAGGTTAGTTTTTTTTATACTTAGCTATTTTTAATTAAAATAGAATACCAAATACAACAAAGGACTTTTGTGTACAGTCATATTCTCTGGGTTAAGGTTTAACACCAAAGCTGATGTGACCAGACTCTGTTTTTATCCTCCTGCCAGCTTCTTGGAAGCCTGTAAAATACTCTTTGTTTTGTTGTTGTTGAGAGTTCTAATGCCGGTTGAGCTTTTTGACAAATCTATTTATTTTTCAACATTTTGTTTCTCTACTAAAAGTCTTACCTTCTATCTTCTTCCATACTGAGAAGAAATCGTCCTAGTAAGAGGAGCACTTAATAATGGTGGTTATAAATTAATTACTTTAATGGCAGTGTTCTTTCTTGAGCAGGTGTAAGTTGAAGCTACAGCAGAAGACAATGTCTTTGTGGTCCTGGGTCAATCAGCCCGGTGAGCTGAGTAAATTCACCAACCCTCTGTTTGAAGCCAACAACCTTGTCATCTGGCCTTCAGTTGCTCCGCAGAGTCTTCCGCTGTGGGAAGGTAAACCGCGCATCCTTTGCAAACTTCCTAACGGTCAGGTGTTCACGCAGCTGCCTGTGGGTGTGTGCTGTTGGTGATACATGAAGATGGTGAGCTGGATGTGGCCCTCAGACCTGTGTGAATTGTCATTCTCAATGTGGGCATGGTTCTCTCTTTCAAATCAGTTAGCTAGCCACACTTTTTTTTTTCAGTTCCCATTGAGAAATTAACAGTGTTTCTTTACATTGCTGTTTATGTTGGATATTTTTTCTAGATAAGAAAGTATATTACTCTTTGCCTAAGAGAGTTGGTAGGTAGTTGGGACGTGAATAAATTGTAAGCTCCTCAGGGAGGGTTTCTGTCCCTTAATTAAGCAGTCATTAGGATAGGTTCATGTATTAAATGGTATTAAAGAGTTACATGGCTGGGCATTCCAGTAAGTTTCTATAAATGGGTACAAAATACCATGAATGCAGTAACACAGCTATTTCACTGTTCTTACGGGGCTATATGCTTCATTTTTAAATCTAGTCTAAAGTAGATTTTTTTATATATACTGATTTTTTCCAACCACTGAAGCTTAGCCCCTTAAGTATTGAAGCTTGTTAATTAAAAAATAACCAAAATCTGGCCAGGTGTGGTGGCTCACACCTATAATCCCAGCACATTGGGAGGCTGAGGTGAGTGGATCCCTTGAGGTCAGAAGTTCAAGACCAGCCTGGCCAACATGGTGAAACCCCGTCTCTACTAAAAATACAAAAATTAGCCAGGCTAATTGGGTGGTGCAGGTCCGTAGTTCCAGCTACTTCTGGAGGCTGAGGCAGGAGAATCACTTGAATCTGGGAGGCAGAGGTGGCAGTGAGCAGAGATGACACCACTGCGCTCTAGCCAGGGCAACACAGCAAGACTTTCTCAAAAAAATAAAAATAAAAATAACCAAAATCTATCTAAACTGTATAGTTTTTCATTAAACAAAGACTCTAAAATACCATTTAATTTTTTAAAGTTAGTTTGAAGATAATAAGCACATATTTATTCATGTTTATATTTAACAGCATAAAGTATACGTAACAAGAATGGTAGCTGTTTGGTAAATTAAACCGAATTACCATTAATGCCAGTTGTTACACCGTGTTCTAGTATGTTATACTCTCAAAGGCAATTCATGTGTGGAAAACTATTTGCCCTTTGTGGAAACGGGTCTGATTGCTTTGTCCTCTCAGTCTGAGACCAAGTCAGTTTCTGTCTCTTCTCTGGATGTCAGCTGTCACATCTAGTTCCTCTTGGCTTATCTGCCATTAGTGGCTTCCTTCCACCTCAGTTCATGCTTCTAATCTTATCTATTGAAGCGTCCCATAGTTAGCATTGTGGGGAAATGGCCTTAGATGGGCTTGAGGTTCTGGGTGTGAGCTTTAGTGCTTTGATTCGTGAAGGAATGGTGACTGCTCAGAACTTCTCTTTGCTTACTTTCGTGATTGTTGTCACAGTCACAGTACAGGGTTTGTGATCTCTTAAATGAGAGGTTACGGTATTCTTCCTGTTTAGGACTTCTGGGACAACGTACCTAAAAGCCACTGTCATGTTTAATAACTGAAATGAGCGTAGCTGTTCGGGAGAAAACCCCTATTGGGAGCTGGGTGGCCTGAAGGATGATTGAATTGCTTTGTACCAAACCTCCTTGTGGAGCTTAGAGATGAGTAATGGGATGAAATCCTTGTTCTGTGGATTAAGTCCTACCATGCCAGAGTTTCAGTATGTGTTTCATGCCCCTCAACCTAGAGCTGGGAGAAAGAAGCTCTCTATTAGGTAAAATCCTATGGTAGGCGTATATGTTGGATGAGACTGCTCTTCGGCCTTAAAATGCCTCTCTGCTGTTTACGTTTACATCACAGCTAACCATTAATATTTAGTAATTCCTGAATTAGAAGAATCACTTACATCACAGCTAACCATTAATATTTAGCAATTCCTGAACTAGAAGAATCAACGTGGGCGGGTCAGGCTTTACGCTGCGGTTCTGCTTTCCCTTTCTGATAGAGCCTGACGTTGGGACCTGCATAGAAGGGCTCATTAGGACCCAGGCAGTTTGGTTTGTAGAGTGTTTTAATGAATCATAAAACCTTTGTGAACTTGCCAGCTGACGTGGTGCAGCCTGGAAGGTTTTCATGCCTCCTTCCTTGAGTATCTGTAAGGCATTATTTTGGTGTGATACAGTTAACATAGGCCTATGGAGAGGAGAAAATATTTCCTTTTGGTTCATAATAAAAGGATAATTATTATTATTTGGGGAAAGAAGCAATTGCCTGCAGAATTGAAAGATTGCCTCTCACATAACAGGGAGAGAGGTGTGTGAGCGCATGGGCTACAGTTCAGGCTTTCAAATAACAACATATGTGGTTCTGCTTTTACCATAGTTGTCACTTTTCTGGTGAAAATGTTTTCACACATTTAAGGGATCTTACATGTATGAGCAAAATTCTGTATGTATAAATGTTTTATATTGTGAAATTGGAAAGTTTATGACATTGTAAATTATCATCTTGTTTTCCTGAATATATCATAGAATGGTGTTTGGATCTATTTGATAATTTTGTGGGATATTTCTGAAGAATCAGTGAGCATGTACATGCAAGTAGTGACTTTTCAGATATTGTATTCAGTTGCATCCTTTTCAGTACCTCAAGATTCCTGTATATTTTAGATTATAATAAAACACAGATGTGAGTTGTGGCAACAAAAGAAAAAAGAATGTATAATACATAAATTATATCTTATCCACAAATATAATTTTAATCCAGTGTTTATACCTTTCTTCCTTCTGTTTTCCATTCCTGGATTCAATAGGTATTTTCCTACGTTGGAATAGGTCCTCTAAGTATTTGGATGAAGCATATGAAGAAATGGTTAACATCATTGAATATAATAAGGAATTACAAGCAAAAGTCAATATCCTTAGAAGGCAGTTGGCAGAACTGGAAACAGAGGACGGGATGCAAGAGAGTCCCTGAAAGGTCTCCTCGCACCGTTTGCAAGGACCTTCCTGGGCCTGTGTCTGCCGTTCTCTCCTTGTGCCCTTCAGTTCACTTTTACACAGTAGCCTTGAAGTGAAGGCTTTAGATGTGGGACCCCTCTAACGTAATGGATTTCTCAATACTGTATGAATAATGAAACTTACTATCATAACTCACGTTTCATGTGGCCTGTTAGGCCCTGTCACTTTGGGAGCCGGGAGGAGGTGCTAGTCATTTTATTTTTATGTGAAGTAGATGACCTATTTAATGCCATTTGTGTTTCATGCCATTTTATCCAAAGCTTTTTCTCTGTGTCCACTCTCCAGGCAGCATTCCAGAGCCGCCAAGGAGACAGGTTCTCTCTCTAGGGACTATTTGGTGGTTTAAAAAAAGGGTCAGACTTTTAAACACTCTTACCATAGAAATGTTTTTCAAAATGGCAGCAATTGATAAACCAAGGATTTTGTGTTGAACAAGCCATTTCCAGTGTCTTTCACATAAAATAGCCATTTGCTTTAAAATAGTTTTGGACTAACGAAGCTGAATCTATTCTCATTCTTGTTTGTCAAGAAAGGAAAATCTGTTATTCAAGGTAAATTATTCCTACAAGGGCGACAGGTATGGTCCTCTGATATTTACATTAAGAAGAGTTAAATTTATTTTAACGTAGACACTAAAAGTATGTGCAATATAGAATCAAAGAAGGAATTTGTTACTGATTGAGAATTGTTACTGTTGAATTGGTTTTCAGGTTTGGACCATACATATACAATGTGTATCAAATGCTGGTTGTAAAATTAAACCATCATCTAGAATAGAGTTAATTTGTTATAATCAAGTTACAAATATGGTTTTCTTAAACCAGAGATGCACCGCCCTTGTCTAAAGTTCTTATTGCACTGGTTTGTATGCGTATATGTGTTTTATTGTGTGCGGTTTTTTTTAATTTGTAAGTATTCTAAGAGTTTACTAATACTAAGGTTAAAATTTTCATGTTGACCTGAGCCTTTTGCAAATTTATTTTGGCTCTATTGATTTGTCCTTTATGCGTTAGGCAAATACAACTTAGGTGGAGGGGGAAGTTTATGAATATAATATAGCTCTGTGTTTGAAACCTCAGAAACGTATTTGAGTGTTTCAGTGTGGGAGAAACAGTGATGGCCGTATTCACGCTCTGCTGGTCTGTGCCTGCAACTCCACATGTTTGTGGTTCAGTATTTCCCTCCTACACTTCTGTTTGGTGACATTGTTTGTTTTAACAAATACGACCGATTCTAGTTTTTCTTTAAAAGGATAGTTTATGAGTAATCTTTAAAACCATTTCCATACCATCTGTATATAACCATTTAGAAGAGAACACACGACATCGAACTCTGCTTTAGAGCTGTGTGTTGAGCGAAAAATATTGTTTTTTAAAAATCGACTAGCAAAATCTATGGCCACACTGAGAAGCCTTTGAAAATGGCAAATACTTTTCATCACCAGTTGCCCAAGTTTCATCTTTCTTCTGCTTCCTCAGCCTTGTAGCAAAGGCTACACGGCAGCCCACAGTCCACAGTCTCTTTGGGAAAATTTGCCTGCTGCCTTCCTTAAGCTCAGTTTATTTTTGACTTACTTTCTTTGCTGTAGTTATGAACCTTGGGGCTTTAAAATCCCATGGCAAGGAGCATAAGAGTTGTTCTCATAGCTCTGCATTGTGTGGAATGTCCATCTTAGTTTTGTGAAAATGAAAAAGAAAGAAACAGCCCTCACTCTTTTGTGGTCCCTCAAAATCGCTTGATATGCCTGTTAATACAGCTGACCTGTTTGTTTTCTTCTCTTTTTGTCTCAAGATTGTATATGAAGGGACCTTTTCTTCTCAGCTAACAGGTGTATAAGGAAAACCATCTAGAGAGTTTTCTTTAGAAGTGACTCCCGTTAGCCTGGTGTGGTGGTGTGTGCCTATAGTCCCAGCCACTAGGGAAGCTGAGGCAGAAGGATCCCTTGAGCCTAGGAGGTTGAGGCTGAGTGAGCTATGATCGCATCAGGCCACTCCAGCCTGAGCAACAGAGTGAGACCCTGTCTCTAAGTAAAGAAAAAGCCAGAAGTGACTCCCACTGCTTCTGTTGATCAGCCATAGGGCTTCCATGGGTAGAAACTTGCAAGGGAGTTTGTATTAGGCCTGGTCATGGAGAGATGATGTACCATCAAGGTAGACCCGTCTTCCTGATGCACATTTGCTGTGTGAGCCAGAGTACAGTCATAGCCCGGTATTCGCATTTCGTTTGCGTTGTCTTACCGAGACAACAATCTATGCTGTTTTGGCAAGTTTGCATTTTAGTGTTAATTTACAATGAGGAATTGTCCAAACTTCAGATCTGTTTACAGGTTGTAAAAATCAACTTTGGTATCAGTGTATGTTCAAAAGTATCATTTGGTAATCCAAATATTTGAGTTTTCCCAAAGCCAAAAACTGTCAAAAATAAGTCTATTATCAATATAATTTGAAGAGGTTTTTAGTAGTACTGTTAAGTTCATCCTTTCTTGGATGAGAAGAATAAATGACATGGATACACTCCTGAGAAGACACTTGTTAAACGTTGCATTGGAGAGTTGCCTTTGATAAATGTGGCATGAAACACTTGAATGAAGAGCACGGTGGCAGAATGAGTGAGCAAGCGGATTGCCCCGGAGGAGCCCGTAGTAATCACGTGAGAGATCGTCAGATTCCTGCGTATTCAGCATCTTCTCTATTCATGTGGAGTGAAAGCTGGCTTTTATATGGGAGATACATAAAGTAGGCCCCGCAAAGAATATTTTTAAAATACAAAGGATCATCATAATCCTCTTATCGAACATATAAGGATCCTCAGATTTAAATAAGTACTTTTTTTTTTAATCAGAAGAACATTGTTGGTTGATTATATATTTTTTAAAACCTGAAACTTTTTTGGTGGCAGGACCTTTCAATAAATATTTGTTTGGTCAAAAATTTTTATTTTGATTTTATTAAATGGGAAGAAAGCAAGCAGAAATAGTAAAATTCAGTAGGTTTTAAACTCTATAAATGTATTTTATTTCCAAGAAAACTTAGGGTCTCAAAGCAAGATTTTAAAGTGATTTTTGAGAAGACTTGGGGGGACAATAATAGACATTCATGTCAAATCCCATATGGGGGATTTTAAAACATTTCTTTGAACTTTGAGGCCTGACTTCGAGATGCGATTTTATTGCTTTTTGTTTTAAAGGATGAAATTTCGTGGCATTTTATTCTTTGATTCAGTCAGTATTTGGTTTATGTTAAATAAAAAATCAGTATAATGGAAAAGATTTGACCATAATTTAGTCTCCTCAAGTGAAAAACAGGAGTAACGTTTAGTTGCACTTTGAAAAATCTGCTTAAAGGCATAACTCTTGTAGTTGTCTGGTTTCAGGAATAGCTGTTTGAATTGTCAGTCTAAAGTAGGTCATCAGGTTCACTTATTATCAGACCTTAATCTGGGATAAAGGTTTTGGTATTTGCCCACTTCTAGATAGAATGAATGAAAATGACACAAGGGTTTTATGAGCACTCTTTATCAGAAGGGTATTTCCTGGACCGAAAATGGGCAATAGTTACAATAGTTGATCCTCTGTTCTGGAGGCTTTGACATTTATCAGAGAATGAAGTCATTCAGTACATTTGATAAAGTGTTGTTGTTGTTGTTGTTGTTTTAATTGAGCAACCCTCAGAACTGAAGAGGTTCAGAGAACTTTCCAGGTTTATACTATACCTCAAGACTACATAGATTAGCTACTGCTTATTCTTTCACATGGGCTAGGCCTGTTCTCCTCCAGACCTAGTATTCTAAGTTATTACCACAGAGAATTTTTATGTTACCCATCATCTTAAAGAACATTATAAGACTCATTTCTCCATTACATTTATTCTTAGATGATAAAATATATACTGATACTCTAACTTTCTTACAGTATCAGTTTTCTTTATTTTCTTGAATAAAATTGCTTCTACCTTTGCTTGGTCTTTATAATCCACTGTCCACAGCATCTTCCTTTAAACCAGTAGTCCCAGAAGAGACCCTCTGAAATTCTAGGACTGGGTGTTAGAATGTCTGAACTTGTTATCTAAATCCTTTTTAAGAAACTTAATGTCCTAGCTCTTCAACTACACTGTGGAACAGTAGTTTGTGCCCAATTTAGTGGAAGATAATGAGGCTCACTGTAAACACTACATTGTCCTGCAGAGTAATTCTGATGAGAATTTACTGACTTCTAGAGCCATTCTCTTTAACCGTCTGCAGGTCTAAGGATTAACTATATTTGTGATTTGTAATAAAACTGAGTTGTACAGCACTGCCTGTGTATGTCTGGCCAACACATTTACAATGCACGTTATCTTTGGAGAGGTGAATTATTCTACATAATACACCCTAAATCTCATTGTTTAAAACCTTATTGGTCTAATACCATCTACACAAAAACATGTTGTACTTGCAGAACTTAGTTTATAAAAACAAAGAATGTGTATTTCTTCAATAGCCGGGTATTTGGATTGTTCTCTTGATATATTTGAATGTGACTCTCGGATTTAAGTGCACTATTATTCATGGCTTACACAGTAAAATTGCACTGTATGGCAAATGTGTCTATAATGTATGCCTTGCTAAAACCTCAAGAGTGCTGTAAGGTATAGGTTTCTATATTGTGAACCTGTCTACACACACACACATATACATATAGTCTTAGGGAAAAAAAAAAAGCTGAACTTTTGTAAGTCTATGTAACATTTTAATATTGTTTGTAATATTCACTAAGCGATAATTTCATCTATATCCTATAACTGTAATCATTCACCTTGGGTTGGCCAGTTTGTCAAGCTTGGTTTACTGAATCAAGAAACAGTCTTGTCAAATGCGGTACTGTTCTTAGTGTGTGATATTTGTGTATGGTGTTCCTCTGCCTCAGAGGACAATTGCGCAGATGGCTAATGTTAAATTTCTATAGACAATAGTAATAAAATTTGAATATATTTAAGTGCTAATAAATTAAACCTGTGGGCTTATTTTAATTTTTTTCAAATACTGGTGAAGGTTTGGATGGTGTTTCAATTAAATCTGCTATATATTTTTTACCTTACATTTTGAAAAAATTGAGATCTGCAAAAAGGTTGCAAAATGGTACACTGATCTCCCTAGGTTGTTCCTAGATTTAGTGATTGTTCACCTACATTGAATGGTAACGTTTTCCACATTTGCTTTAATACCACGTATGTGTGTGTGTTACACTGTTATTTTGCTGAAACATCTGAGTTAGCTGCAGACACTGTGACCCTTCTAAATACTTCACAGGTATCGCCCAAGAATTAGGATTATGTATTCTACATATTATTGATTTAGTATGTATTAATATAAACAGATGAATCAATGAGGGTAAAAAGAAAGCTCTTTCTAGAGTAGAATGCTAGCTATTAAATGTAGAAAGAAAATGGAATTAGCCACTATTTGGCAAATTATTACAGTAATCATTGACTTAGGCAATGCCCATTAGTGAATGGCAAAACTAGCAGGTGATGAAAGTTTGTGAAGAACAGAATATAATCTCCAAATAGCCTTCCACAAAATACTTACTAGTTACAAAGGAGAAAATACTAACTTTATAGTGAAAGGAACTGGTGGATATCACCTTATCTCAGGAAAAGTTAACATCATTAGTAATGGGACATATCAACATCATGTGCCTTCTGATATGATCCATCCAGAAACAGCACCACTGTTGGAGGGAAAAAGCAGTCTTAGGAATTCTGTAGTTTAAAATCTTATATTTAGATCTTAATCCATTCTGCGTTAATTTTTGTATATTGTGTGGGATAAAGGCCCAATTTCATTCTTTTGCATATGGATATTCAGCTTTTCCCAACATTTTGTTGAAGGACTGTCCTTTTCCCATTGTGTGGTCTTGGTATCCTTGTTGAAAATTATTTTACCACATATATATTCATTTCTGTGCACTCTATTCTGTTCCATTGGTCTGTATGTCTGTGTTAATCACTGGAAGGCCGAGGTGAGAAGATCACATGAGGCCAGGAGTTCGAAACCAGCATGAGAAACATAACAAGACCCTGTCTCTACAAAAAATAAAAAATTAACGAGGCATGATGGTGCTCATCTGCAGTCCTTGTGACTCAGAGGCTGGAGTGGGAGGATTGCTTGAGCCCAGGAGTTCCAGGATACAGTAAACTATGATCATGCCATTGCATGCCAGCCTGGATAACAGAGCCAGACTCTGACTTAAGAAAGCAGATCACTTATTTTGTATTTAAGTTTGTCTGATGCTAACATTGAAAAGTGACTAAATGTATAGACAACTACATCCTTCAATAATTATAATGATAAACCCAAGGAAAGGGTGAAAATCTAATTTCCATAGATTCAGATGTTCAGTTATAACACAAATATGAAGCATGCAAACAAATGAGAAATCTGGCTCATTCACAGGAATAAAATTAATTGAAAGGAACTATCCTTAAGGAATCCCAGACTTTGGACTTACTAGACAAAGACTAAATGATTGTCTTAAATATGCTCAAAGAGTTAAAAGACGACTAAATGAAATCAGAGAAATGATGTCTGAACAAAATGAGAATATCAATAAAAATATAAAAAGGAACCAGGTAGAAATTTTGTAGCTGAAAAGTGCAGTAACTGAGACGAAAAATTCACTAGAATGGTTCAATTGTTGTTGTTGTTGTTTGCTTTTTTTTTTCTTTCTGAAACATAATCTTGCTCTGTTGCCCAGGCTGGAATGCAGTGGCATGATCTCAGCTCACTGCAACATCTGCCTTCTGGGTTGAAGCAGTTCTCCTGCCTCAGCCTTCCAAGTAGCTGAGATTACAGGTGCATGCCACCTCGCCCAGCTAATTTTTGTATTTTTGGTAGATGAAGTTTCACCATGTTGGCCAGGCTTGTCTCAAACTCCTGACCTTGTGATCCACCTGCCTCGGCCTCCCAAAATGCTGGGATTACAGGCCTGAGCCACCATGCCCTGCCTTCAGTAGAGTTTTTGATCAGGCAGAAGAAAGGATTAGCTAATTTGAAGATACAACTATTGAAATTATCTAGTCTGAGGAGCATAAAGAAAAGGAATTTAAAAAAGTGAATAGACTTAAAGACTTGTAGGATACCATCAAGTGGACCAACATATGGTTTATGAGAGTCCTAGAAAAAAGCAAAAAATTATTTTAAAAATAAGGGCTGTAAACATCCCAGGTTTGATGAAAGACATAAGTCTACAAATCCAAGAAGCCTCTACGACAACCTCTAATACCACAAACTCAGAGATTCACACCAGTACACATTATATGAAAACTATCAAAAATCACCAAGAATCTTGAAAGTAGCAAAAGAGAATCAACTCATAACATTACAAGGGATCCTAAATGGGATTATCAACTTATTTTTAATTAGAATTCATGGAGGCCAGAAGACAATGGGATGATATACTTTAAATGTTGAAAGAAAATAACCTGTCAACTGAGAATTATATATCCAGCAAAACTGTCCTCCAAAAAATAAGGGAGAAATTAAGACATGCCTAGATTTTTAAAAAGCATAGGGAGCTTGTTACTGCGAGATGTGCCTGACAAGAAATGCTAAAGGGAGTCCTTCAGTGAAATGAAACAACACTAGACAGTAAGCTGAACCCGTGTGAAGGAAGAAATATCTTCATGACAGATAAATTATAGGGCAAATATAAAAACCAGTATTATTATAACTTTATAACATCACTTTTTATTTTCCATAGGAATCAAAAGACAAAAACTTAAAAAATATTATAAATCTATGTTAGGAAGCTTGTTACCACTAGATTTGCCATACAGGAAATGCTAACGAAAGTCCTTGAAGGTGAAATGAAAGGATGGTAGACAATAACTCAAACCTGAGTGAAGAAATAAATATTTCTGTTTGCTATGGTTTGAATATCCTCTCTAAAATGCATGTTGAAATTTAATTGCCATTGTGATGGTATTAAGATGTCAAACCTTTAAGAGATGATTAGGTCATAAGGGCTCTGCCCTCATGTATGGATTAATGCCATTATCATGGGAGTGAGTTAGTTATTATGGGAGTGGGTTCCTGATAAAAAAGATTCTGAAGTTCAGCCCTGATCCCTTTTCTGTCTCACACACTCTCTTGCCCTTCCACCTTTTGCCATGGGATGAGGCAGCACAAAGGCCCTCACCAGATGCTGGCACCATGCTCTTGGACTTCTCAGCTTCCAGAACCTTGAGGCAGATAAACTTCTTTACAAATTATCCAGTCTGTGGTACTCTGTTATAGTAGTGGAAAAATGAACTAAGACATTGGTAAAGTAAATACAATGGCAAACATAAAAAAAAGTATTATTGTAATTTTGGCTTGTAACTCCACTTTTTTATTTTCTAACGAATTAAAAGACAAAGGCATAAAAATAAATCTGTTATTGAGCACTCAATGTATACAGATTTGGGACATCAATAACAAAGGGCATGGGACAGAGCTGTATAGGCATATGTTTTTCTATAAAAGTTAACTTGGAATCAGTTTAGATTCGACTATTTAAACTTTAGGTTGTTATGCGTAATGCTTATGGTAATCACAAGGAAAATATCTATGGGAAACACAAGAAGAAATGGGAAGGGAATCAAAAGATATCACTACCAAAAATAAACACAAAAGACAGTTGTTATGGGGGAAATGAGGGGCAAGAAAGTAACAAAACATACAGAAAACAACAAAACAGCAGAAGTAAGTCCTTATCACTGATTACATTAAATGTAATGTAGTCCCATGTATGCAAGGCTGATTTAACATTTAAATCAGCCTTCAGTTCAGCCAGTCAATGTAATCCATAGTATCAAGACTAAAGAAGAAAAGCCACATGATCATATCAGTAAATGCAGAAAAAGCATTTCACAAAATCCAACACTTTAAAACTGTTAGTAAACTAGGAATATAGTGGAACTTCCTTAGTTTGATTTAAAAAAAGTCTGCAGCTAACATACTTAATGGTGAGAAGCTTGCCTGCTAATACCAGGAACAAGACAAGCATGTCCACTCTCACCACTCCTTTCAACATTGTATGGGAAGTTAAAACTGATGCAATAAGACAGAAAGAGGAAATAAAAAGTATACAGATTGGGAAGGAAGAAACAAAACTCTCTTTCTTCACAGATTATATGATTTTTCTATGTAGAAAGTCTAAAAGAAGCAACCATAATCTCCTAGAACTAATAAACAGTTATAGCAAGGTTGCAGGATACATGGTTAATTTACAAAATTCAATTGCTTTCCTGTCAGCAACGAACAAATGAAATTTGACATTTAAAAATATCATTTACATTAGCAGCTTCCCAAAATTAAGCACTTAGATATAAATCTAACAAAATATATACAAAATCTACATGAAGAAAGCTACGAAGTTCGGATGAAGGAAATCAGAGATGAACTAAATAAATGAGATATTCTATGTTCACGGATGGGAAGAATCAATATTGTCAAGATATCAGTGCTTCTCAGCTTGATCTAGATTCCATGCAATCTCAATCAAAATGTTATTTCGGCCGGGCGCGGTGGCTCAAGCCTGTAATCCCAGCACTTTGGGAGGCCGAGACGGGCGGATCACGAGGTCAGGAGATCAAGACCATCCTGGCTAACACGGTGAAACCCTGTCTCTACTAAAAAATGAAACCCCGTCTCTACTAAAAAATACAAAAAACTAGCCGGGCGAGGTGGTGGGCGCCTGTAGTCCCAGCTACTCGGGAGGCGGAGCTTGCAGTGAGCTGAGATCCGGCCACTGCACTCCAGCCTGGGCGACAGAGCCAGACTCCGTCTCAAAAAAAAAAAAATGTTATTTCGTGGATAATGACAAACTAATTCTGAGGTTTATGAGACGTAAAACCCATAATAGCCAACACAATATTGAAGGAGAAGAACAAAGTTGAGGACTGGCAATACTCAACTTCAAGATTTATTATAAAGCCACGTTAATCAAGACTGTATTTCTTGCCTAGCT